CAACCTGCTGCTGTGATACCTTCAGTCCCTGCCTCTTTGAGTAACAGAAGATCTAGAGTTAACGCTGTTTCTGATGAAAGTAGTCAGTCAGAATTGTCTACTGCTAATAGTGAAGCCACAAATACGATTCGTTTTTCTTCGATCGCTTTGAATCGACAGAATGAACCGTCAAAACCCAAAGATGTTCAAACTACTAACGGTGCTAGCGATCAGGTAGATAATATTCTTGAAAAAAGGGCTGTTACTTTTGATAGTAGTCAAGGTCCAAGTATAGCTTCGAGAATAAATGAATCTCTGGCTGATCGGCATGCACGTTTAAGAGAAAAAGAACGTAGTTTCATGTTCTCTGGAGCCGTAAGACGAAGGAGTGAATTTCGAGAGAGAATTTTGTCTCACTTGACTGAACATTGTTCTGGCGAACTTCCGCAGCAGTTAACTGAACTAGTCGATAAACATATTACAAACGATTTCACTGATCTCGTCCCGCAAAGAGTAGAATCGAACTTTTTAAGTCGCTTAACAAGAAGAGATGCTTTGGTTGGAGAAAAATCAATGCAACGGGAATCTGAAATTTTAGACTTTCTTACAAAGTATCTGGACGAAAATTTAAAAAAAAAAAAGGAAAAGCAAGGTGCTAACTTGAATTCTCCGTTGTCGCACTCGGTTTCTATTCGAAGTGTTGATAGTGGATATATGACTACTAACGAACAAACTCCTGCGTTTGGTATTTCCATGCTTTCAATTAACTCTAATTTTGTTTAGCTAAATTTTCTAAACAAAACTGTTCATTAACATAATTACCCGAACAGATACCTCGGAAAATGTTAACGGTGACCTGCAGGATGTTAGTAAACTATCAACGAATGATAGGTGGAGGGAATTACAAAAGAGGAAACAAAAGACGGAAAATTCAACAGAGGAGGAAAGTCAAGGATCTGTTTCGGCTCTAGCAAAGAAAATGGGACAAATGAATGTGAATGGTAACAGAGCCTCTCTAGATATATCAGGTGCTGTCGAAAAAGCTAAGCAGGACTTGGCTAGCGCTGGACGTAAGGTACCAGAACGAACGGTAGAGCAACCAGTCTCTCCTCCTAAAAAAACAGAAGCTGAATTAAGATGGAATCGAATAGAAAAAATGGTCATGAGAAGCTTTAAAGATTGTCTAAAAATGAACAGGTGAAGATATCTTTTTATCACCAGGAAATTCTATTTGAATGTATTTCTATCCAAATAGGATGCCTGATTTCGATGATTTAGAGTCTGACGATGATGATGATGTTTTAGAAGAATTTCAGGATGATGAGGAAGTGGTCGATAATAATCTACCACCTCAACCTCCTCCAATCTTTCCTGGTATTCCAGTTCCACCTCCGCTTTTAGGTAAACGTCCTGATTTCATTTTGTCATGTATCAATACATTAGTTTATTATCCTTAGGTGCAGTACCACCACCACCAGCGCCTCCTCCAATGAACATGCCTCCACCGGCACCACCACTTTCGAAAAACACAATTGCAAAGAATAAGAAGACCATTAGGTTACATTGGAAAGAGATTCAAGCAAATGAAATAGACGTGATAGCGCCTCAGTTGAAAAAGAGTATAAATCTTAAATCCATTTGGGAAAATTTAGATAAGGAAATAGAGCCAGTAAAAATTGATCAACTACATTTAGAGCATTTGTTTGAGACTAGAGCATCAGAATTAAAACCAAAGGTTAGTTAATTGCAGGCTTGCATACACTGAGAATTTGATAGTGCCCTCTTTATCTTTAGACTTTTATGAGTAAAAGTGAAAGTCATTTCCATATTAAATTTATTTTTTTAGTTTTCTTGAGTTTTTTTTTAATTTTTTTTGCATGATTCCTTTTCATTCCCTTTCATTTTCAGGAAATTGTGGTAAGAGTTTTGTTGTTTTTAGTCTTTCTAATTCAAGCTATTAATAATTTCTTATTAAATTCTAGTTTTTTAGTTAAAAAAGTTTTCGTTAATGATTTTTATCTATCTAGTAATATAAATCTGATAGCTAAAATCGACTACGCAACTCTATTATTATGCTCTGTTTAATATGTTGTATATCTTTCGAACAGCAACAGGTATTATGGTTGTTGACCCTTTCTTTTAATTTTACATCGTTCCCTTAATAATGGTAGTCTAGATCACTACCTATATTTAAAAAGTCGAATTAATATATTTTTTATAATTTTTCGAATGGTGTTTATTTTTGGTGGTGGTTTAAAAATCGACACATACACAATCAATTTTTCTATACTTTTTGTACCCGATATAAAAGAATTCAAAGTACAACAGATTACTCTGGTTAAAAGTTTTCACCTCCGTTTCAAATATCCCTGAATATATGTTTATAAAGCGTGAAATTATTTCATTCAGTCTATTTTTCAACAGAAAGCGGATAACAAAAAAGAAGTAACTGTTTTGGATGCTAGACGTTCAAATGCTATAAATATTGGAATGACTGGTCTCCCGCCTCAAAGAATAATAAGGTCTGCTATTATGCAAATGGATTCTTCTTGTTTAAACAAAGAAGCCATTGATAAGATATTGCATCAAATGTTACCGACTGGAGAGGAAATTGAGCGTATGTAAAATTATCCTTGAGAAAGTTGCGTAATATCAAATAGCAATTTTTTGTGTCAATTTAACAGGTATTACGGAGGCAAAGAGGGAAAACAGTGATAGGCAATTGGGATCAGCAGAGCAGTTTCTCTTAACTTTGGCTAGCATATCTCATTTGGAAGAACGCCTTACACTTTGGCTATTTAAAGTCGATTATGAAACAATTGAGGCTGAAGTGTCTGAACCGTTAGTTGATTTAAAAACCGGTATGAAGGTTTTAAAGGATAATAAAACTTTCAAGTGCCTTTTAGCAGTTCTCAGGGCAATTGGCTCATTTTTAAACGGTCGAGAAGTTCATGGCTTTTTAATAGACTATTTATCAAAAGTAAATGAAGTTAAAGATACTGTTCACAAACAAACTTTATTACACCACGTAACAAACTTAATGCTCGATCAGTATCCGAATTGTAGTGATTTATATTCAGAAGTTGGATCAGTTGCACGATGTGGTAAGGTTGACTGGTCTGAATTAGATAAAAAATTAGAGAAATTGGAGAGAGATTGTAAAACGGCTATGGCCAATCACGCTATCTTGTTAAAGCATGATGGAAAAACTCAACTATTAGAGAAATTAAAGGAATTTTTATATTCTTCTGCAGAAAGAATAGTTGCTATCAAAATAATTCATCGCCGTGTTTTAAATAGATTCAAGGGGTTTCTATTATATCTTGGTTATACACCTCCGCAAGCTCGCGAAACTTCAGTAAACAGTGTTAGTCAGGTTGTTGCGGAATTTGCTTTAGAATATAGAACCATTCGAGAAAAAGTTAAAAAGCAAAGAGAGAAGAAAGCAGCTCAAAGGGAACGAAATAAAACTCGTGGCAAATTAATAACTGATACTGAAGCTTTCATGGCTGGAGGGGCAGGTTGTGATAAAGATGAACTCATGAAAGCTCTTCTGTTGAATGGAGGAAGTGACTCAACGCCAAAACTCCAGAGACGGAAACGTCAATCTGTAGATAGGGGACAAGCCCGAAACGACAGTGAGAGTGTTTATGATACAGCTGAAGATGCCGATGCAAGTGATCCACTTTTGGAGGCCTGTGTTAAACGAGTAACAGCAATGCCAACAAATAGAAGGCAGCGTAGAGCAAGAGCAAGAGGAACGAGAAAATCACGTAAGTGTTACACTTACACATAATTTATAAGTTTATATACGGTAGTCGTATCTATAGCCGAACTGGCGTAAGAGCTGAAGTCAGGTAATTTATAGCATGATCTGCTGTGAAATTCCAAGTTTTGTGATAACAAAAATGTGTTATTTTTGTTATTTTATCCTTAAAGCATACTTAATACTGCTTAAAGCTCCTGTAAAAGTTCTTACTAACATTTTTTCTCCTTAAAACAGTGAGAAGAACTAGAACTGGTTTAACAGAAGAAGAACTTAAAGTCGTTTTAGCCAATCAACAAAAAGCCTCCTAGCGCGCATTAATCATTTTAAAAGATAATATAATGAGAGTATATTTATTTATAAACAAAAAAAACTGTGCATATTAATAATAATGGTATACATGAGATTTTTATTCATCTTCACATGCAGTCGAAATATTTTTCTTTTTTATCTTTTATTCGCAGTTTGTACACGAGCTTTGTAGTAACAAAGCTAATTAAATTTTAAAACGTGCCGTTAAACTATAAATGAAATAATAAATGAGATTTTTAGCAAATTTTAAATACCTTTTTTAATTGACAGTAACTAAAATATAGAGTATTCTTCACTTCTCAATAGAATACCATAGTTATTTATAAAAAATGCATTGATAGAAATAATAAGTTAATGGCTATGGATTAAAAGCAAGCGACAATAAAAATTGGCCGTTTTTTTCTTTCAGATTTTAATCAACGTAAACAGGAGGTACTATGTACTAAAAACAACAATGATTAGGTTTGAATCATTGTAAAAACTTATGACGTATATCCAAACATTATTTATAGCTATTGTTGCTTTTACCGCATACCAGAAATTTTTACCAAAATTTACATATAATTGCTAGTCAATAGAATTACAGCCGGTTACATGTCAAAACGTTGATAAGTAATAAAATGATAGGGTTATGTTAATAAATTCTCTATAGCGTAGACTATTTAATGTAAAAGTCTTTGGCAGTGGATAATTTTTGAACGAATGACTCAAATAAATAAATAAATAAATATATTATATATTTAATATACAATATATATTATTGCACTTTCAACATATTGAAAACCTTAAGCATGTATACATCAATAAACTATCCCAATTCTAACAATAATATAATATTGAACAACAATGAAACTAGACAATTTTTGAAGAGAAGCATATTGAAATTTCTTCTCAGAGTGTTTTAAATTCAAAAAGTTGTTTAGCAAATATAACAACGCCTTTTAGAGCATATTGTGCACCAACAAGACGAGTATATATCTTGTTTTGCTGCCCAGCTGAACTATGTATCGAAATCACCCCCAATTTTACGACGGACAGTACCCAAGAAGCAATTCCCGATATAGTTATCCAAATTCTGAGGTTTTATTTCAATTTTATTTCTTTTGTGCTGTTTAATACTTAAATAAACTTATGACACTATTATAAATATTTACTAGGAGAGATCAAATGCTAAGAAGCAACGAAGTGAGACTTTAACATCCGAACAATTAGAAATAGATAAAGCTCTGAGTATAAAAAAGTTTGTTTTTTTTTGCAATATGCACAATAAATAATCTATAATTTATACAATATACTCAATAGTGGCTCAAAACCGAAAAAGAAGAGATTAAGAGATGATGCTTATACATTTGTTTCCACAACTTCTTTGCACGCATTACCTTTTGTGCTTAGATCTAGATCCTATAGTGGTAGAATTTTTTGGGTCAGTAACCTTTCAATATGAAAAGACTATAACTAGGATACGTCTATTAAATTATTCATATAATTTTTTACGCATAAAAAAATATATCTCCTTTTGTAACGACAGATACTAATTTTTTTGGTGGGAACTGGTGCAATGCTGTGGCACTTGTGGTTATTGACTAAAAACTATTTGAGCTACAGCCTCGCAACGACTGTTAATATCAAATATGAGCATCTACAATTCCCTTCAATAAGTGTGTGCAATGAAAATGCTCTAAGACAATCATTGGTATTTTCTGCCAACCTAAGTGTTCCTGATGCATTCAGAGAATATGTTTTAGGGCTAAAAGATACTGAAGAATATTCCAAAAATGAAACCAATCCTGGAGATCGACCCCCTCCAGCTAACAATAAGCGAAGGCGAAAAAGATCCACCAAACCAAAAAAACCATTTCATGTCAACTCAAGCTCTGAGCTTGAGCAAAAATCGCCACAATATGAAAGGGATCCAGAAACCAATGAAGAATATGGCTATGGTAATACTTCCACAGAGTATAGGAACTACGAGACTTACTCAAAAGCGCTTCGATTATTAGATTCCAGTTTAAGATACGATTTAGGTCATCAGAAAAATGTATTAATATTAAGTTGTGCATTTAATGGTATAGAGTGCGATACAGAGTAAGAAATTACTCTTAATGTTCTATTTAATAATGAAATATTTTTTAACAGAAATTTTACTGATTATCTATCGCACGACTATGGAAATTGTTTCACATTCAATGATTTCCTTAATAGATCGAAGTCACCAAGACCGCAAGGACTAAGAGTTCGGGGAAGTGGCACTACCTATGGATTAAGTCTCTTGTTGTATCTTGAAAGAAACGAGTATACGCTAGAATTGACTCCTGCTTCAGGAGCTAGGGTTGTTATTAGTGAATTCGGTTCCCACCCAAATATTGATCACAATGGCTTATCTCTCTCCCCTGGAAAGGAGATTGATATTGGTTTAAAAAAAGTTTTTATTCAAAGGTTAAAATATCAACAACATACGTGCAAGGAAGAGACAAATTACTTACAATTGTCCTATAACTACACACAAGGTGCATGTAATTCTCTATGTGAAGATCAGATGATTTATAAATATTGTAATTGCCATCGTCCCGAGTTTATGGAGCATTACAATGATAATCAGCTTCTATCCGACATTTGTGAAAGTGAAAATCAGACAAGGGATCGAGATTGTCAAGTAAGAATTCTCACCCGAATACGAAATGCAAAGTTAAACTGTTCTTGCGATAAAGCGTGTTATACAACTGATTATGATCTAGAAATGTCTATGAAAGATTATCCAGCAGAGACTAAATGGTTCACATTTATTAACAGAGTTTGTGAGGAGGATTCCCATGATTGTTATTATTTACAACAAATTAAAAAAGAAGATAGAAGGAGAGTTCTTCGTGAAAATTTTATTAAACTTAACATATTTTACAGAGATCTTAACTTTCAATTGGTTAATGAGGATCTATCCTATGAACTGGCTCAGTATCTTTCAGATTTTGGTGGATCAATTGGCCTTTGGATTGGCATGAGTGTCATTACTTTAATAGAAGTGGGTGATTTCCTTCTAAGCATTATTCAGTGGATATATAGGCGTAATTGTGTATAAAATGATATATTCTTAATTAAAATAAAAGCTCTATGGTTTATTCTTTATATGTTACATATAAATTAATAGATGGTTTTTTATAAGACTATGGTTTAAGTTCGACTTGGTGCCAACCGCTAGGAGGCACTACTTTCCCAACCTTAACCAATAGTTAAATAGATAATATTTCCTTCGTAACTGTTAAAGTTGACACTCCAGCTAGAATGTCGACTTTCTTTGCTAAACTAGATCCCAAGCTACCGCCTATTCCTGAAAATGGACAGATTGAATGTCTCCCTTTTCTATGTGCTGTAAAACAGATACCACCGTTTTTTGATTTACTGGGAATTTCATTTAAAATAGTAAAAAACGATATAGGCAACAATGTTGAAATATTGCACAAAGCCTTCAGTCGAGACACAGCTAAGTATAGCACTTTCGACGATATTATACAAGACGAAATTTTGAGGCAAGCTGAAAAATCTAAAAATTCTTCTTCTCTTTCCTTTCTGTGGTTGAAAAGGGCTTTGGAATACATGCACATATTTCTGTTGCAAATAGTGGAGGATCATGAAAAGGGAGGAGAAACTGAGAATCTAGCCTCGTTCTGTCAAACTGCATATGAAAAAACTTTGAAAACATACCACGGTTGGTTCACTCGAAAAGCTTTTAGTATGATATCTCATACACTACCTTGGAAAAAGGATCTTTTGAAGACTCTAGCATTTAACCAAGATCAGGTCTCGATTGATGAAATTATCAATGATACAAAGCAATACTTAAACGGACTTGGGGAGATTGTCAAGGGCATGAACAGCACAATTGATAAATTCAACATTAACTTTCAAGATGTCGTTTAAAATTTTCCCATTTAGTATTTTCGATTTAGCAATTTTCCTTGATCCTAGATTTTCAAGATAATTTCCCTTATAAATTAAATAAATTTTAGTGATTATGAATATTTTGAATTTGTATTCGCTTATACTAAAACGCAACATATGTAAAACTCTTGATAAACATTCATCAATTGAACAAGACTACTTATTTAACATCGTCAAGAACAGTTTGACTTTAAATTTTTTAAATTGCGACCTTATTTTGTATATTTCATTTTTTTGACATCCAACCCATAGGCTGCCAAACGATCATCGCTTAAACCCTTTCTCTTACGATCCTCAATCACTCTCTTCTTTTTTGCCTTGATATTTAGTTTCTTAGTTTCAGCTCTTTCCTTGCTTTTGGAATTTTTAATTTTTTCGGCCTCATCTGCCGTATTTTCTTCTATTTGTGATGGTTTATGAAGGCTACGAACTTGTTTCTTTTTTCTCATTCTTCTTTTCACATTTTTTGACAATTTTTGCTCTTCTTTTTCATTCTTATCTTTCTCTTCTTTAACCAAACTTGGAATGACTGAGGATTTCTTTTTCCAATCTGCTGCTTTACGGGAGTATTTCTTCATATCATACTTTTCATCCCTCTCTGTTCTGTACTGAGACATGCGCTTCACACTGACCCACTTGTTAAGTTCTACATCGGATGCCTTCAATATTTCCTCTGGTGACAAACCAAAATCATTAGGTACTGTTTCCCGATATTTAAATCTGCATGGTATATCTGCAACAACGTCTTCAAAATCGAGTGAATAATATTCCTTCGCGTATTCTTCAAATGTTTTGTCATCTGCCATATCAGTGAAAATAATTAAATACGAAAAGTGATTATAATTATAATTTATATATTACTTGGATCGAATAGTGGTTTCGTTTTCTCTATAACATCACGAAACTTTAACTTTTTTTTCTTCTTTCTTGACTTCTTTGTTTTTTCTTGTTCAACATCAGCTTTTCTATTAGCAGTTTCAACAACATATTTATTCCAATCTTCATCTTCACTGCATTTATCGCTATCATCGAACACTGGTTTTTCGTCATCATCAACTTTATAAAACTGATCATCAAACAACTCCTTCATTTTTTTATCATATTTTTCTTCATCAAAATCACTTTCTATATCTTTTTCATCAAAGGTTTTGCTGTCTTTTTCAAATCCAGCCGTATGCGATAGCTTGAGGATCTTTTCTTCAATGTCCTTTTTCTTCAATTTACTAAGTTGCTTCAGTTCCTGCTTTTTCTTCTCTTTCTCCGCAAGGCGACGTTCTTTGACAGTTAATCGTTTCTCCTTCCTTTTAGTACTTTTTTCTCTTAATGAATCTTCTACTTCACGTGGAAAAGATGTAATTGTTGTTGCGTTAGGTTCTTCATGACGAAAATTATATTTTCGTTCAAATTTTTCTTCTTTCTCTAATTGCTCTTCCTCCTCTGAAAAATCTTCATCAGGAAAATGTGAAACTTCGATTTCATCAACTTCTCTCCATTTTCCAGAGAGTAAATATTGTTTCAAAAACTCTTCTTTATTTTCAACATCAGATTTGACTGGAGCATTTCCTATAATTATTGAGCTTTGTCTTTTGGAGCTGGAAAAACCTTCATCTTCACTGTCGCTACTTTCATTTTCTTTGCCATCCTCGAATGCTTTTTCTTTTCTTTTAAAAAAATCCTCGTCGTCTTCTGAAGATTCATCCACAATGGCATCTTTAATTGAATTTTTTAAATGCCGTTGTTCGTCATCGTATGTTGGCTTTTTCTGTTCATCTTCACCATCACTTTCTGAATCTGAATATTTTCCTTTTCTCTCTAGCATAACCTTACGATCATAATCCTTTAGAGTCACTTTATTCCTTGGCTCCACGCTGTCATTCTTTGCAATTTTGTCAATTTCTGCAAAAGAGCTAATGTGATTTTATATCATATTATTTATTTGAATAATTTACCCTTGAAAAATTTTACATTGGGGTCATAAATTTTAGGATCTTGCTTTTTCAGGGCTTCCAGCGTTGTGAGCCATCTTTCTTCGAATTCGGGTGTTATGTACTGCCAGAAAGCAGAAAGTTATATATTTTCCAAATTGTATATCCGTCTTACCTCTGCTAAATCTTCGTCACTCTCGTCTGATGATGAGGACTCGTTTTCGACAGCATCTTCGCCATAACGTGCTTTTACTTTTATGTGAAAATCATATTATCGCTCAATATTGACATCAAATTGTAAAAAATAACGACGAGGATTTCATCGTTAATAAAAAATTTCAAAAGTGTGAAACTATAAATACTTACATTTTTGATATTCCTCTTTAGACCTCCATTTATCATAATTTTTAGCGTAATTTTGGTTGATTTTTAGTTTATCACACATTATGAAATTTCTAACAGTTTCTAGCTCTGCCCGCCATGGTGCGCTTACAGCGCGATCCAATGAAATCTCAAGCGTGTCTTTAAATTTATTTATCAAACTCTCTTCAGTTTTAATCCTTGACTTACTGCAAAATAGATTGTTTTAAGTTTTACCTGTTTGGATTAGCAAACGCCGTAAATGGATTCTTTATGTATGTGTTTTTTTATTATAAGTATAGAGCTTCTATTATCGTTCACCGTTTCATTTCAGCTTTCTCTCCATTTATTCATCCGAATAACCCAATTAAGTGGCCCAGCTTCGAAGAATTAGCAAAGAAATATAAATACTTTGAAGAATGTGGAAAATATAATAGTTTGGGGAAATTTAAAATAAATGTTCAAGAGGAAAAATGTAAGAGGTTAATGACAGTTTACTTTTTTAGAGAAAGTATTATTTTCATGATTATATTACCATGCTAATTTTGAATGCTGTGCTGTTTATTCAGTTGCAACTGATACAAAATTTTAGATAAATGACTGATAAATGTTTATTTTAAGATATACATGTTTTTTGTCCACCTCTAACTGTGGTTTTGTTTTAGACAACTCACAAGATCACTCTTGGAACATTTCTTCTCTTTGAAAGTAACACTACCGGAAGGACGTCTTATTCCTGCTCTAACAATACGAGTAAACTATATTTGCTGGCTTGAAGATATGCTTTCAGTTTGTCCAGAAGTATCAGGCATTGATATTGGTGAGCCAACAAAAATCATATTAATAGTTTCTATGCACTAAAAACCATAATACTATTAGGATGCGGCGCTTCTTGCATTTATCCCTTAATCGCCTCAGCACGTAACGGATGGCAATTCAGAGCAAGTGAAATAGATCATTTAAACTATGAGTATGCCTTAAAAAATATAAAGACTAATTCACTGGAAGATATGATAACTGGTAAATTTTTAAATTCTTTTGTCTTAAGTAACCAATTCCTGACAATTTTATAGTTGTTAAGAAGTCTGATGATGCAACAATTCTCTCTGATGTTTTGGAAGACGGAAAAACTTATGAATTTTGTATGTGCAATCCCCCGTTTCATGATAATGAAGTGGACGACCTGAATATGGAGAAAGCTGCTCCAGTGGAAATGATAACAACGGGTGGAGAAGTAGCATTTGTAAAAAAAATTATAGAAGAAAGCCTAATTTTGAAAAAAAGAGTCAAGTATTTATGATATATATGCATTAAATTTTGCGAATTCTTTTATAATTTTCTCTATAGTACAGAATTTACACAACGATGATAGGAAAAAAATTAAGCGTATTGCCAATTATTGCTTTTCTTGAACGATACTTCAGTCAGAATAGTGAGGATGATCTAGTTTGTTTTATTTTACAATATAAGTTATTTATATTAACAAATTTCTTTCCTAGATATGTGGCTATGGCCTGACTCAATTTTGTCAAGGACGAGTAATTAGATGGGGATTAGCATGGTCTTTCCATAGGAGAAAGTTTTCAGTAAGGATCTTTTACAATGTAACAAACTTTTGAAATACGCTTTTCGCAGGGATTTCAAAAACAGTGGAACGAAAATTCAGATCTTACAATTCCTTGGGGAAGAGTTACTCTTGTTAATTATGCATTCAAATAAAGATATTTAAACAATAATTGTTACGCATTAGTATAATGTTATTGTATAGAAAGTTAAATCATACAATATAATCATGACTTTGCATGAATAAAATAATTTATTTATAGACAACAGTACACACATGGAGAAAATTTCTTTAAATATAGGATAAACAAATAGTTATGCAGATATGAAATTCCTCGTCTAAAATATCACGCTTTTTTATTAGTTTTCAATTTTTATAAAATAATACATCTATGAAGCATCAGTAAAGCATTTAATTTTACAATTAAATTTATGATGAAGTAAATTGCGGTGGTGTTCGAAAGTATTTTTTAGACCGGGACTTAGTCATAACAAAAGTAATAGGTGGCGTTGTATTACTCATGACTTATCTCAATATGATCAACTGACGACTCGGTAGAAATTATTCAAACTTGTCAATTCAGTCACGATCAAGAAAATGTCTTTCTTTAAAAAAAAACCAACCCCCTCAGGTAATTATTCAAGAATACTGTAAAAATTACAGTATTTTATTTTTATATCTTCCTATTTTTAAGTGATTCATATTTACCGTGACAATAGAACAGAAACGAGAGATAGATCGAACAAATCGCAAAGCTCAAAGAGATTTGGAACGGGATAGAGGTCAGTTAGAAAAACAAGAGAAACAGTTACAAGAAGAAATAAAAAGGGCTGCAAAGAGAGGAGATAAACAAACCTGCAATATCTTGGCTAAGCAATTAATTCAAATGCGAAAGGCTAAAACTAGAACTTACACTGCCCAGAGTAAAGTACAAGTAATGACAAATCAAACAAAATTAATGCACACAAATGTTAATGTTGCTCAGACCATGGGTAAAACTGCAAAAGTAAGTAGGCAATTAATTGAAGAAAAGTATACTAATAATGTTTTTACTTAGACTATGTCTGATGTCAATAAGCAAATGGATCCCATGAAAACTCAAGCAATGTTGAAAGAATTCTCAATGCAAAACGCTAAAATGGAAATGACAGATGAAATGAGTAAGTCTATTAAGTTTTGAGACATAAACAGATTATCTTAGTTTTTCAATCATAGTCAATGATACATTGGATGATATAATGAATGATTCCGCTGATGAGGAAGAACAAGACGCCGTTGTCAATCAAGTTTTGGACGAAATTGGCATTGAAATTTCAGGCCAGGTATAAGTTGTTGTTATATTTCTCCCTTACCATCTATAACGTCCATAATGTTTTTTAGATGTCTAAAGCTCCAACGGCTGAAAGAGGTGCCCTGGGAGCAGAATCTGCGAAGGCAACAGTCAGTGATGAAGAGTTGATGAAGCAGCTAGCACAATTAAAATCTTCATAAGAAATTAACTTATTTCTATTGAATACTTTTTAAAACTCAATTGGTGATTTTCATGTATCGAAATTTTTTAGTTATTTATGTCAAAGTTAAAATTAACCATCATATTTCAGCATTTAAATTAAGTGTATCGTGCAAAATTTATTTGAATCATAGAAGACATCGATTGGAGTTTTTCTTTTCGATACTTTTATTATTTTATTTAAGAAACTATATTAATATAAAAAATTATTCTATTATTTGATAATAAAATATAAATATTAAATTCTGAATGTTGTATTTTTTTGCAAACATTCTATTTCAAGTTACGTAATAGTATCTGTTGGCCAAGGTTATTTTTTAAAAACAAAGTCGTCCATCACGCAACCAATCAACCAGGAAGAAAAAGAATAATTCAAAATGTTCCATTTTTATCAATTAAAGTAAACAAGATGCATATTTTTTGTTGCCAAATTTACAGAGAGATAACAACAGAAAAGTATTTCGCCTAAGCGTTAGATTGGCGCCTATTATCGCTCTCTACACATGTTGCATCATTGACAGATCTGAGGAGATTTGATTTCAGTACGATCGGAGCCATCGCTGAAGACTACAGTGAAGAGGATGAATTTTGAAGATATACTAAATCATATAGGCGGGGCTGGTCGTTACCAAGTTTTCATCTTTCTGACAACAGGCTTCATCAACTGGCCATATGCATTTGATACGCTATTAATTGTCTTTAGCGGGGCCACTCCAGAACATTGGTGCTATATACCTCAGCTTGCCGGAAAAAACTTATCAATTGAAGAAATAAAGAACATTTCGATACCTCGGGATAAAGAGGGTAAATTTATGAAATGTTCAATGTACAATTTGAATTATAGCAACTTAAATCAATCAAATTTTTCCAATGCATCTACTACTTCTTGTCAGAACGGCTGGTCCTATGATACATCTATATATGAGAATACTTTGGTAACAGAATGGGATATGGTGTGTGAGAGAACCTGGCTAAGCTTTCTCTTGTCTTTTTCATTCATGTTAGGTTTATTAATTGGAGCTCCATCTTCTGGGTTGCTCTCTGATAAATTTGGAAGAAAAAAAACTTTACTAATATGTATTGTAGCCAGGTGTTTAATTTCAATCTCTTTTCCATTTTTAAATTCTTTGGTTTTATCAATTATTTGGAGACTGTTTTTAGGAGTATTTAGTATAGCTCTACTAAATGTTGCCTTTGTAAATCGTAAGTTTAAAATTCAAGAGCAAAATATATAATGTAAATATCATATTTTCAATAGAGATGGAAATTATAGGCGTAAGATGGAGAGGTTTAGTTTCGGCAGCAATATCATATTTTTGGATTGTTGGACTAGTTATTTTAGGATTTTGGGCTATGTGTGAGAGAGATTGGCGTCGATTACATCTTTATACCTCAATTCCATGGGTTTTGCTCATTATTTTATTTGTGTTCGTTTTGTTTATTCGCCTATTCTTGTGCTATAATCCAAAATGTTTTCAAACAGAATCATGCCGGAGTCCCCTCGATGGCTTATTGCCAGAAAAAAGACAAGCAAAGCTATATCGAGCTTAAAATTCATTGCCAAATTTAACGGCAAGTATCTGCCTGAAAACGCTCAAGTTACAATTTCAAAAGAAAAAGAGCCTCCTTTTTGTGAATTATTTCTCTCTCCTATCTATCGCAGAAGAATAATCATTATAAGCCTAGTTTGGTGAGATTAAACTTCACACTAATTTGAATTTTTTACAAGTCAATTATTCATACAGGTTTTCCAACACGCTTATTTATTATGGGTTATCATTAAGTGCTGGTTCATTCGTTTCGAGTATCTATATCGAATTCATATTAAATGCTGTAATTGAAATTCCAGCTACTGCTTTTGCACAATTTACCATGCATTTTATCAGCCGTAAAAAATCGTTGTGTGCGTCCATGATATGCTCAGGAATATGTTTAATGATTATCATGCCGTTGAAACACCGTTTAACAATATTTATCTTAGAATTAGTCGGAAAATTTTTCCTTTCAACGGCATTTACTGTTATGCTGCTCTATACCAGTGAACTATTTCCTACACTTATTCGAAACTGGGCGTTTGGAGTGGCAAGTTGTTCAGGTCGATTTGGATCTCTTCTATCAACAGCAATATCGAAATTAAGTCATGAAATTGACGTTCATATACCGATGTTTTCTTTTGGTATCTTATCAGTAGTTATTGGAGCCTCGGTATTGTTACTTCAAGAGACTAAGGACGCTTTATTGAAAGAAACGATTGAAAAAAAAGTGAAGCCGGAAGAAGACGAGATTGCGTTGAATATTCAATGAACGATTTGCTAGACGCTTAATTCGAAATTGATCGATTAAATCGATCAATTTAATCAATTTATGCCGTCTAATTGCATTTCGTTTCGCGCCGTCTCTCCCTCTGTTTGTTCAACTCTTATACTTTGTCATTTTGTTAATGGCAGAAGACGATAAAATTTTCTGTACTCTTCGAGTTCATGATTCTGATGGTTCAACTGCTCATGTTTATAATGGAATTTCGGCTAATTCCTGGCTTACACCGATAGGGATAGGAAAGCGCGCAACTCCTCCTCTTCATATCGCATGCGTGGATACTGTTCGACAAAGAGCTCAATCTGCCAATTCTATTTTAGGGAGGCGACACTATGAATTAGAACGACAACAATTCGATGAGAAACTTATTGGTACATCTCTTATAAATAACGGTCCAAAAATGTCTATAAGGAATGCCGCTCCCATAAAAATTTACGAACGCCCATCAATCGATCACTATACAGCAGATTTTGAGCTAAACATTAAACAGTTAATCGCACCCTCAACTGAACAACGTCGCTGTATAAGTGCATTCGATCTGCGTCAAACTCGTTTTTCATCTGCTAAAAAAATGAGAGAAGCATTTTTTCGACGTGCCAAACCGATTTCAGGAAAGGAAATCTCTGAACCTTTTGAAGATTTGACTGCTTTAACACCAGCTGGAGTTAAAAAAGTTGAAACCCGACCAAAAACAGGATTTGGTATTCGTATAGGAAAAGGGCCCAGTCTTAAACCCTTAATGTATAATGCTGAATGCGCAGACTGTTCCTGCCCCTATGGTTGTAAACCTAATTGCAGTTTTCGAGCATGTTTAGCCTCTTCAGATTACATGGAAGGCAACACTAGTTCTGTAAATGAAGAATCTAATAATTTACCTATCAACAAATTAGCAACAGAGAGAAAGCGTAGAATGAAAATAATTAGACGTGAAATGCCCCTGCTTGATAAATAAATTTATTTTGTAAACAAAATTTATTCCTAAGTTCGATTCTAAAAAAACATTCAAAATATTAATCATCTTTTTTTTGTTCTTCTACGGTCTTTGAATTTGACTTCTTTCCCTTCAAATTCTTTTGACATTGAAGGTACATCTCATTCAATTGAAAGCCACTACAAACGTTTTCCTACAGAAAGATATATTTATCGATGAATCTATAGATAAAGTGATTAGTTATGCTATAAGTACCATTGTGAAAACAAATTTCGAGACTTGACCCCTTTCATTCACGAATGGCTTTCGTCTAACTTCTTTACCATTTTCAAACTGAATAACAGTTGGTAGTTGCTTTGATGTAACTGAATTATTTACCTTAAATCTGAAATATAAAAACTATGTAAATCTTATTTAGGAAGGTATAAGAAATACTACTTGTCGGCAGCATCTGCGAATCTGGTTATATCAACCTTTCCAAACTTAAGGTTAGGAAGACTATATTTGGCAGATAATTCCGAAAAAATCGGAGCAAAATTTACACAATTCGGTGACCAAGCCGAATAAAACTCAATAATCCATGTAATTCGATTATCTTTATCCATTTCATTTTGAAGATTTTCAATACCTGTAAAATAGGTTATGTGTTCGGGGCCTCTATAGACTGGCTCAGGCAGAAGGACTAATTGACCTACGAAAATTATGAAATGAATAAATCTGTTTGTAATGTTTAGTTTTCACTTACAAAGGCAAACAACAACATAGGCAATTCCATAAAAGATATTTTGTCTAAAGAAGAGGAAGGTGCTCAATAACTTTGCAAACATGAATACGGTAGAAATATATTGTTTGTAGGTAGCTAGAATAAAAGTTGCGCAATGATTAGCGGGAATGTCCTTAATAGTTTTACTTACGTTGCTTTCGATTTTTTATGACTATAATGCAACCAAGAAAAGTAAGCAGCTCCCATTCTCTCTGCGATTTTTCAAACATTGCTTTTACAAAACGTTTAAAAATGAATTAACCTACTAATTCTAATTCGCAATTTTCGAAGATCACATCACAAACTGGCTCCATCGTTTTTAATCCGAAGAACAAAACCGATAGCAAGAGATTTGATATATAATGGGGATGTATTAAACCCATGATATTCTGAAGAACCCAGTGCATATTGATGGTTGTATACGTGATTTTATGTTTTTTTTTAAAAATAGAACACAGTGTCGAGCGATAATAGCTGTATCATAGGGCGTGCTTACAGTAAGTTTCGTATTTAAAGAAAAATATTTCTTTTTCAATTAATATTTTTTAAAAATTTATTAAATCACAATCACAAATATTAAGTTTTTTAAGGTTTAAGAATTTTTGTGCGGCACTTATATCAACATTGAACATCGCACAAAAATTCAATCGAACTGTTGCGAAAGTAGAGTAATACTTTTTATTAACTAATACTTTAATAATTAATGACGTATGAATTATAGAAAAATATGGAGAATAGTGTTGTTGGTTTGTTCTACTGTAGATGAAAGCTGAAATTTTTGACAATGTCTTAATCGAACTTTAATTGATTGTTTGTCTTCAAATTTGCATACAACTTGAGGCGTTGTAATTATGTCCGAAACACGAAAGAGAAATCAATACCAAGTCGACCTGTTTAATGTTTGTTTTCAATTACTTAATTTAAGGTAAATTTAGTTAATTATACACAATTTTCAGGACGCTTATGATTCGTTTATGACGAAACATTTACAACATTACGGATACTTTACAGGTACTGATATTTGTTTATATTACAAAGATTAGTCGGTGGAAGAAAATTTTCATTCGCTTTTTAGACAACTCTCGACCTGTTTGAATTAGATATGTTGACATATGGATTTAGATGAGACGTTATACAAATATTTTCAATGAATACTTAGTGCATACTTTGTGTATATGTGTGTCTATTTTAAAGGCTTCAGTAAACCGGATTTATAAATTAATCTAATTTTTTTTGAACAACACAAGATGGCGCAAATTTGTAAATATCTCCTTGTATTGTTTGTATTGTTTATCTCTGATTGATTCTGATGACGTCTCTAGGAATATGTGGTCATATTATGCGACACTGCATTATATATCAGAGGCTCTTGCAACTGAATATTGCATTAAAAGCTAGTTATTAGCTTGACAAACTATAAGTCAATACATTTTGTAGAGAAGGCGCGTCGGTCGTTGTTTGTTCAGACTTTGTCACGTTATAGACTTAGCTACCATGTATTGGACTTTTCCTCACGAAATATGGCCAAGTTTATCGATGTGAACTTGTCATTTTGGAACGGTTTCACTGTGCCTGATGGCCAAAAGATAAAGCACGGTAACTAAATGTTTGAGGTGGAGGGTTTTGAATAGTTTGTGGAGAGTTAATGCTTTTTTTTCCAAATCATATTTTTCCAATTTAATAACAATATCGATCGCTGAATTTGTTTCAGGTCGGAACTCGAGTGCAAAGAATTCCATTCTCTACTTCTCTCAATATGATAAAACTTACACTGTAGATGAAAAACTTGAAGCGGCATTCCCCGACGAAAGTAGTAGAAGATTTTGCCGTCTAAAACGTGCCGATGACTCGGATAACGAAAAAGGTAAGTGAAGAGTAAGGAGTGGTGAGAGAAAGAGAAAAAGCTATAGTAGTTCAATCTATTAGCTTTAAAATGCATTATTACAAGCCTTACAAAAGAAGGTGAAATTTTCCCAATCAATCAATCAATCAATGCGCGTTATCGGCTATTGCCATGCTCATGTTGCTAAAGTAGATGGTGCTGCGTCTCTAAAACAATTTTATTCAATTGCGCTTCCGAAAGCGATGAAAGAGGGAATTCGCGTAACTGACGTACCAAGTCCGGTAAAAAACTGGTCTATGTTCACAGAATGGGTTGCAGCTAGAACGAACCGTAAGTTGACGATGATAAAATCTTTAAAATCTTTTAATTTTCTTCTAAATCTTTTAATTTTTCTTATCGGGTGTTTGAGTGAAGACGTATACGTAATGTCTAAAGGAACGGCTCGAGTAGAGCTTACAAGAACAATAAGCTGATTATCGGACTGTACACAGTCTTGTCCGTGCTTAAGCCAGCATTACAAAAGTCCCTATAATATTGATCTCCTTAATCTATTACAATAGTCGCAGTTGCGGTGTCGGTCTCAAACAGTCGTGCTATCGCGAAACAAAAATGACAAGACTTCTCTTTCAATCTTCTAGGAAAAAAAACTGGTTTTCCGATTGTTCGGATACATTTGACGCTAGTCTTTATTTGGATATATTAAAATCTTCAAAATTCTTTATAAATGCCGGTAAATAAGTGTTTGTAACAGTAAATGTTTACCCGAGCGATTATTACACCGACTTTTGAGTATTTGTCGTCTATTATGCTGTACTGTTTATAAAAATATCAGTCTTTTCTTTATCTATATTTCTCTAGATGAAAAGACACAAGAAGAACTACTCAGAACAACTCAATTGGTGTATAATTACCAAGAAGGTCGCATGGTTCCAAAGCTTAAAGAGCCCAGGCAACTATATGGAATCGGAAATAGCGATTTAGGACCTCAGCAAGCAGCTCGTTGGTAAGATAGAAGGAATTTAAAATCAATAGCATCAATTTTAGAGTTTAAAGCTAAAATGTAAAAACAATCATTCTATAGGCCAGCGGAAATTCAGGTTTTGAATGAGAAAATCGAACACATTGATTCAGTTCCCAAAGAACCTGAGCCTTTATATAAAAAAAGTAACTTGCTCGTTTTCTTATTACAAATTAAGCTATACTTTATTAATTATCTGTAAAATGTCAGGTGGCAGTGAACAATCTCCACTTTGTAAATCATATAATGGCGATGGCAGAGTTGTTTATGATTATGAACCAGTGCTAGGTCCCTTTGTAAGTTGTGAACATAACAGTATATAAATTTTACTTTATAACCGAGGCTATTTTTGTCCTTATCAGTTTATGAGGGCGCGAGTAGGCGGATTTCGAGGTGGTTGTAGACAAGTTTCCATATCACTAGAGAATGAAAATGATAAGACTTTATTGTTCGAGTCAAGATTTGAAAGCGGAAATCTGGCAAAAGCTGTTCAAGTGTAAGTTATATTCTCAATATCTTGCAACTCTTTGATTGACGTTTGCACCCGAATATAATTTGTATTTTCTTTTAGGGGAGAATTCGAATACGAGCTGTGGCTACGCAACGATTTGTATACCAATAAGCATACGCAATGGTACTATTTTCGTTTCGAAAATACTCGAAGTGATGTGACATATCGGTTCACTATTGTTAATTTAATGAAGGTAATCAATAATGAGTTTTTAATTATAGTAAATCTTACAAGCTCACTCTTAATAGCCTGAAAGTCTATATAATGAGGGAATGAAGCCATTATTTTATAGTGAAAAACGAGCTAGTGAAAAAAATACTGGATGGACAAGACATGGTGCTGATATAAAGTATTACAGAAATAATATACGGTATATTTAATATTATTTATTATATGCCTAGTTTAAAATTATGCTATACTATAGTTATACATGTGGTAAATCTGAGAAAAGTAATTATTCTCTAACTTGGACTTTCAAATTGCCATATAATGGAGATTCTTGTTATTTTGCTCACTGCTATCCTTATACTTACACAAACCTGCAAGACTACTTAAATAATTTATTGAACGACCCAGTGAAATCGAAGCTATGCAAACAAAGAATTTTATGTCGAACTTTAGCTGGGAATTTGGTGTATTATTTAACAATAACCTCTCCGACGAAGACTGCGGAGGAAGCTAAACATCGTAAGGCTGTTGTTGTGACGTCGCGAGTTCATCCAGGAGAAACTAATGCCAGTTGGATGATGAAAGGTTTTCTTGATTATCTACTCAGTGATTCAATGGATGCAAAAGTTTGATTTTGTAACAAAATTATGTAACTTTTCTGAATTGGTAATTTTTATTTTCAGTTGCTAAGGGATACATTTGTTTTCAAACTAGTGCCTATGCTGAATCCAGATGGCGTTATTGTAGGAAATTATCGTTGTTCTTTAGCTGGTCGTGATTTAAATAGAAATTATAAAACTCAATTAAAAGAAAGTTTTCCTTCTATTTGGCATACCAAAGTTATGATTAAAAAGTATACCGATTTGATCCATTCGTTATTTGTTTCATTTAATTAGTATTTCTTCAATAGACTGATGGAAGAACGTGATATCGTAACTTACTGCGACTTGCATGGTCATAGTCGTCGTCAAAATGTGTTCATTTACGGATGTGAAAATCGAAATAATTCAAATAAAAGATTGAGAGAAAGAATTTTTCCTTGTATGTTAAACAAAAATGCCCCAGATAAGGTAAAGATTCTAAATATAAGTAGATTCATTTACATTCTAAATATTCTACCTGTAGTTTGATTTTAATGAATGCAAGTTCAAAATACAAAAGTCGAAAGAGGGAACAGGTAGAATTGTCATGTGGAATATGGGTATTATGAATAGTTACACACTGGAAGCAACGTTTGCCGGTACTATCCTGAATGGAAAAAGCGTCCATTTCAACACAAAAGATTTGGAATCTATGGGTTACCATTTTTGTGATACTCTATTGGATTACTGCGACCCTGACCAATCCAAGGTAATTATTTTATAGGCAATTTTACAACTTTTAAATTATTTAAATTCAATGTTCCTCTTATTCTTAAAAGCGTTTTTCTTCCTACAAAGTTTTCTTAGGATTATTACTTAAAATATTACCTTATTTTATATCAAAACTTAGATCTTTTCTTTATTTTCGTTCCCAAATACATCTGCTGCCGATCGCGTTTTGCTGATTTGTTCTATTGGTAATACGTTTGTTTTAAGCCTTAGTAGAAATTGATTTGATGCATGAGGATATTGATCAGGATGATAAAAAGAAGCATGCTATCGGTAGATTAGAATCACATTCTTGTTAATAAACACGAAGCATAATATCTAAACAGTCACTTGATTCCTTATATATAATAAAAAACGTTTAAAAGCTCCTTGAATTTGATATCAATTTTTCTTATGTCTAGTCATCAAAAATTCTATTGGAACTTGAGGACCGTATTCGTGCCGAGATCCTTTATAGACTGCAACAGAAAGAAGGTGAACTTTGCAGCAAGAAATTGGAAGATATTAACATTGACGAATATTATACAACGGAATTAGAATCAAGGTTTATTATTTATTCTTTTCAAATGGACGGACATAAAACAGTAATATATGTTATAGTGATGGCGGTTCGGATAGTTCAATATCAGATGGTTTACCCTTGCATCTACAATATATGTCAGACGATATATCAGCTAAGAAGAAAAAACTTAAAACTCGCAAAGAGAGAGATAAACTTCAGAACCAAAGATCTGCAAGTTTTCGTGAAGATAGAAGAGCCAATAAATTAGAAAGAATACCTGTAAGTTACCAAATTTTTCTAATCTTCAACAAAAGTTGCTTAAAATTGATTAGGTTACGTCAACTTCTGTTCAATCGGGCAAACGAGAGAAACCGGAAACGTCAAAACCAAGAGTATGTATAGCATGTTCGAACAGACTCTAATTTAAGTTTGCCGTGTCCCAGTGTTTTATATTAATATTAATAATTCACTTGCATTTGTTTTTATTTCAAAAATAATATTGGTACTTTTAGACGCCCTTTGTGGTTGGACAAGCGGCGGCAACTTTTAGACAATGCTTACCGGCTCATCGGCGTTGTTTGTCGGCTAATCTGGTATAAATACCAAAATTATATAGCATGCTTATTGTTATAAGTATTTATATATATATATATATATTAGTATATATACTGTATTTTTGGTATATATGCATATAAGAATCTGGCATAGTAGTGGTTGTTACATTTTGAATAGGTTTAGTAGATTTTCCGCGCTTATATTAGGGATAAAATCTGTCCTTTAACCCATGCATGCTGTTTACTAATCATACATTTTTTTTATGTGTGTTGTTGCAAAACATTTAATAAAGATTTCGTGAGTTAATTAATATTTTGTTTTGTTTACCATTGCTTTCCTTGGCATAAAAATAGAAGAGTGAAAAGGAGGTATTTAAAATTCTTCATATTTACTGTGCTATCAACTTTAAAATGTTTTATACTAAATCTTTTCCTCATTCCTTATGTATTTTGTATAAAATTTTGATTAAAAATATACATCTTAGACAATATTTGATGTATATAAATTTGAATTATTTTTTCAATTAATTTTTGTATGTACAGTTTTAATGTGCTCTATCGTTTTCTTCATATTTTTTGTAGCCTCTCAAGTATACTAACAAAAGGACGAAACCATTTGACGATGATGGAAACCATCAATCTATTGTAGTTCATCATAAGGTCGACGATAGGCTGATTTTAAATAAAACTGATGTTAGCGGAAAGGTACTACTCGATAATTTGATGCCGGTATACTTTTCTAATATCTGTTGCACTTTTCATTTTCAATAGAAGTTAAGATAGCAACTATTAATAATTATACTTGAGTGTTTTCTGTCATCTACAATATTCGAGATTTACGAAAACATTATTTTTCAGAACTATCTTGACGCCATAACGGACGCCTATTCAAAGCAAAAAGTTTTACAAAGCTCAGGAAATGAAAAAGGTTTGTCTTGTTTTTGTTATAAGTAGGAAATATGCATGCTGTGTATCCCATTTCGAACCCTCCTATCCCACCCAGCAGAAGTTCCTCATTTTCGATATACTGCAAAAGGCGAAAATTTTACATATCCCGAACCAATAAATGTCCCTGTTGGTCATTGTTTACAAAGGCGACGTTTTCCAGGTGAGTCCAATGCGTCAATCGCATTTTATACTCGATTTCCTCTATACAGCACCACCTTTGCCGCTCGGCTATTGTTTGAAAGGTAAAATTTCACGAGCAGCAAAAAAATATATTCTAGCGTCTATTAGATACTTTCTTGCTTTTATTCTGTTATCTATACATGAGTTTCGAATTCAATTCATCCGACTGCAGAAAGTAGTGGAGACGAATTGGAACATAATGAGACAGTCCAACCGTCTCTAGATATTTCGGTTGCGCAAGACAAGCGGCCTCTTTCAACGGTACGTTCCAGATCAGCTTCCCGTACACGAAAAACAAGTATCGGCAGTACGGAAGAATTTGAATTTCGTTTGCCTAGCATATGCTCCTTTGTATCTACCGAAGATGTACGATGTCTTGGTGACATCGAATTACATTCCACGGGTAGCCGTTATTATTGCAGTGCCGACGTTTTGTTCATAATTTTGTTCCGAATACTCGTGTGTTGCTTTGATGCACCCCTTATTTCGCCTTTGCAGAATGTTTACAGTTATGGGATCATTCTTCACTTAGACGCCTCTCCTCCTCACAAATAGAGTGCTCATTCGAATCGTCTTTGTGCCGACGGCGACTTAAAGTAAACGGTCAGTTATGTGACTGTAGTCGTTGGCGTTTTTGTTGACAATTTTTAAAGATGTTTTGCTGTTTACTTTTGAATTTTATTTTGCATTCTAATATTTTTACAATTTTTAATGATCAATTGAAAATATTTTTAATTTAACTCGTGTTGAACAATCAGAGGACCTCGCAGACCTTACAAGATACAAGTATTCAATGAAGCCATCTAGTGCATCTAGTGAGAGAAGGATCGCAAGCCCTCATTATCAGCAAAGACATGCTGCAGAGTTAAGCTCCGCCCAGCAGAGACAGGAAAGATTACTTAATATTGAATCTAAAGTAAATTTTCTTTTTCGTTTATTGGCAGATGGCATTTCTGATAATTTGATTACTTGCAGCAAAAACACGACAGGACGTTTTGTAGATCAGCCAATCAATCAATGAGAAGAGGTTCTATACCACTATCGGATTCAAACGTAGCCCAAAATTTTACAAAAGACGGAAATCCGTTACAAATGCCTCCCAGAGGCGAAACACCCCTTCAGTCACTTCATCATCAAGAAGCTGCTTTAGAATTAGAGAGCTACGCTGATGATGTTATCTCAGTAACGAAAGAGAATCAAAAGAAAAATCATCCTGCAGACGAATCAACTAATTTGTGCCATCGAACAGAGGGAGATTCAATGGAACCTGCAGAAGCATCAAAGGTTCCTCAAAGAGGCGAAAGAGATGGTTCGACAGTCCTAGCTCTGTTCAAAAATAGTCAAGATCAAAAAATCGGACCGACCATGCCATCTTCAGTGAAAGAATATAAACAGAGTTTGAAATTGGCAAAGGAAAAGAGTTCAGCGAATTTAGGTCCTGAACAGCAATGCATCCCAAAAGCCACTTTTGTCGATACAACACCAAGACGTCCCACACCGCCTACCTCTTCATCTATTCCAGAACATGAATCAAGACCTAGTACTCAACGTCGTAGACATCGGCTAAATCAAAAGTCAACAAGTATGATTTCTTTAACCCATACAGAGTGAGTAGGATTAAAAATAGTTTTCTATATATGTTGCAAGTAATGATTTAACTTCAGAGAACTTTCGAATGCTCATAGTAACTTCGGAAAGTTGGAAGAAACTCCCGTTGTTACGCAAACGTCCCGACCAAATACAGTATATTCTCAAGTGTCTCACGTAAGTGCAACTATTCGAGGTGACTCTACAAAACCTTTGAGTGGCTCGCTTGGAAGTAGGGTGCATAGTTTGAGACGATCTTATCACGGTCACACTGACAATACACCTATTTGTCAACAACCTTTTGCTAATTCTTCAGAAACGACAAATGGTCATTTGGAGGTAATTATAGATATAGGATCTCTAACTTTGTGATTTTAAACTAAATCGTTAAACAGAGTCGTTCAGGAGAGAAAAAGAGCTTAGCAAAAATCTCTTTAAGAATTTCTCACGGGCATCACTCACCAATCGAACATGATCGTCATCATCAATCACCAACCGTCAATAACGGATTCAAACCTACAGGTCTTTTGGAAAATAGACCATTTCTTGTTAAAAGCTCAAGCTCAAGCAATAGTTTTAAAAGAAAATAACTTTGTTATTATTAAGCATCTTATTTACTATATTGTACTGACAAACACTGAAAAGTGTGCAGTAATTGTTTGTATGAACTTTATTTGGATACAATTTATGTACAAAAATACTTTATCAAATTAAGTTAAACTGTTTAAAGGTAGTGTATAGAGTTCAATGCTTTCCTTTAACGATAGAAGCAAAATTTCTTCTGATAAACAATCAAAATGTCCCAAAAAAAGAAATCCAGGCTGTTCAACTGGTCTACGAGTCATCAGTATCTTCATTTGCAGCGTAGAAGAGCTTTTGAAGAAATACAGTTACGGTATCTAAATAAGAAATCAAAATATGGTTTTAGACGGTCCACATATTCTATTAATAGTTTTCTAAATGATTTTCTCACGTCGTAATTTCAGGTAGCTTTTCGGTTTGTTCTTCCAAGATACAAAAATGAAATAATATCCCAATCCAGTCGAAACGAAAATTGCTAATCCCAAAACTGTATGAAGGGGCTTACTATAAGCTGTCACAATTAACAGGAGAAACAGTAAGGCTACAAAAAATATTAATAAAGGAAGAGGAAGCTGTAAGACACGAATGATATAAAAGTTACAATGTTACAATTCATTTTATAAATAAATACTTTAATAGGCCTATCCATAGTTGGCTTTTTAAACCTCCAAATAATTAATCCCAGGAATACAAGAGCTTCCGAGGCTTGATTAAAGAAAACGGATAAATTCAATATGAGATAAATATCTCTAACCAAAATAGCGAGAGTAATTACAATTCCCTGTTCATAAAAGAAAAGTTTTTAGCATGAGCTATTTATAAATTTAATAATTTACTTCAGTCAGGATTGCTACCACTGGTGACAAATATTTTATGCTAACTAGACTCATAGCAGATCCAAAATCTCCCTTTTTTCCGGCAATAAATGTTAACCTTGACGCAATAACAAGCCCAGAATTGAATGAGCCAGCTAAATTAATAGAGATACAAATCGATATAAGAAACCATAGTGGTCCCCACATTTTTTTTGCAAAAAGCTGATTGAGAAAATATGTTATTTACGATTATTCGAAAAGAGAGTTTCTTACAGATCCTACAGCTACAGTATTAGCAACAGTTTCTGAACCCAGAACGGCTATAAATGCAAAATTTATAGAGATGTAAAATACAATAGAAATAATTGCAGATATTCCTATTGCTATTGGAAGATTTCTGATTGATTAAACATTTAGTTAATAAACAAAAATTCCTTTTGAAAAGAATTATTTGTACACATTTACCTTTTAGGTTTTTCAATTTCGTCAACAATAAAGTTCAATGCTTGACTTATGAAAGAAATTTCGATTGAATGAACAAATATATTAAGTTTTTATGATACTCACTAGCCTCCGTAAGCCCAAAATGTAGAATAAAATGCTAGGACAATCTTTTCGGCAGATACCGTTGCCTTATCCAATCCAAAATTGGGATCATTCAATTTTCCTTAACCGGAAAAAATGAGAAAGTTTGTTATGTTTTTTTTTCGTGTAATGCATCTACCTTCAGAAGAAACATGTACCACAGCCGTAATAATGATGCTAAGTAGCGCAATTATTCCACATATAGTAAAACTGGTTTGAGTTCGTGCAGACCATTTAACATAGAAGCAATTAATTATGACCAAGAACCCTGAAAAAGGATGTTTTACAAAGAAATAAAATGCTATCAGGTTACTAAACAGCAAAATATAATAGCGAGAAACATATCTGCCATCATTGGTACGTCTCCACAATCGAATATGGGTTCTAGAACATATTTCGCAAAAGTTAGGCATTTTACAGCATTAGCCCCTGGTCGAAAAAGTAATATGTAGGTCCAGGCATAAACAAATGCAGTTTTTGGTCCGTAGATTTCACTGAGATAAGTATATTTCTCTCCAGAAGAGGGAATTGTTGTACCTAGATGAGGTCAATAATTCATGAGAATTAGTCTTTCCATACAGGACGAATTATCGATATTAAAACAAACTAACAAAACAAGAGGTGATAAATTCTTTTATCCTATTATTTTATTTAAAATACTACAAATAATAAAGTTTCAAACCTAGTTCTGCATAACATAATGCTCCTACAAACGAAAGTATCCCACTTACTAACCATATTATAAGAGCTAAAGCTCCTGAATTGACTTGACGAAGAATACCTTTAAAACAAAAAATCATTTCTTATCAATTTCAAATTGTATTTTTTACCAGTTGGTGCAACATAGATGCCTGACCCAAATACTAATCCAGAAATTACACCGACACCATGTAAAATTCCATAGCGTCTTTGTAGTTTTATTTCTTTTTCAACCATCTTTGGAAATGAATTTGTCTTTGTTAGAGGAAAATATTCCGTGTCAAAGGACAAAAGACATATGTTTCTTCTCAATTAAACTAAAGTATTTATATTTATTTAGACATTTAAAAATTTCGCTACGAAGCAACATAAGGTCTATGAACTGATTATGGCAAAGTTTGATGATAGATAAGGAGTAGACTTTGAAAGATGGTTATTTTCATAAATACTTTATGTTTATTGATAGCAAAACAAGCAGATTTAATGAGAAGCACTTTTAAAAACTTCAATTGTAAAAACTGTTAATTTTGAAAAACGTTGTTCTTATTTTACATTATATACAATGAACTGATTTTTCTTATCTTTTTATTTACAAACAGAATCTTGCATTCATTATTCCGATCGACAACTATGAGATTATCGTCAAAATACGAAAATCCAATGAAAAATATTCTTTGTTATCAGATATCGATCAACTTTAAGATAATAAATTAAATAATTTAACAATCTATTTAATTAGATTAATTAGTGATTACTTAATAGTAATTACAAGTTTAAATCTTATTAAGGAACATCAATTAAATTAAAGATAAAGCAGTTTACTAATCTTCTCGAGCAAGTGTTGTTGAACCGTTTATTTATAAAATAGAACTAGCGCCAAAGAAAGACTTTAACAGCGGGAAATGGTTTCAACAAAGCAATACTATATTCGCAAAAATTTTAGACAGTAATAAGTTTTATGCTGAAGTGTATTACAAAAAACTTAAGAATCGTTTATGTTTACTTTATAGATTGTTGATCAATGACTTTATGAAAATGGAAAAATTTGTATAGGATATGAACGCTTTATTATGAAAGAAATAAAATATAATTTTTACTCTGAAAGTTTGCTTGAAATTAATATTCATCTGGATAATGCACTCCATTATATTTAGAGAGAGGATTAAAGTTTGAATCTCCTATAGGAATATCATTATGATCATCGTACATGTATAAATAATGATTGGAAGGGATTTGTGAGCCAAGACCAGCCGCTGTTAATAACGGTTCAGAGCTATACCTGTCTGGGTTTGGTGCGCATAAAGCCAATAAAAGCAAACAGCCCCATGATATACCCAAATGACTTTCGAAAGACGAGTGCTTGAATGGCACACCTACTTCTATAACATGTTTTCTGAAATTAAATGCAATATTGCCGATATGGTTAACATTTTCGTCCAGGTGTATGTGGTGAGTTTTTGTAACTAGTTTTGGTTTGAGAGAATATATAGTTACGACCATTTCATCATGACCATTTTCGTGACCTTTCCATATACCTTTCACTATGGCTTCATCACCAGATATCGTCTTTACAATGACTGCTCTCTCTCCTTCTTCTTGCTTTAGACTTACATTTTCAGACGGCTTCGACAGCTGTTTGGGATGTGGAAGGTGCTCTTTACCTATACTATGCACTAGGGCCATCATACGGTTGTCTCTTCCTATGTGAATGGCTGACATTCTTAGAGGTAAGCAATGTATAACTTTTGCTGTAAATTTAATTTCTTCTTCAGTATCAAATAGCCTATGCGTTGCAAAGGAATAAGAGAAATCGCTATCGTTGACCGGTGTAGGCAAAGCCATAGGACCCCAAACGTCTAGCCAATCTTTCTTGGATCGAACTGCTTCAAATGCCCCTTCTTCGGTCATACGGAGTGAGATATTCGTTGCTTTCCAGTCGGAGACAGTCGCAGTAATTAATGCTCCAATTTCCATATCATGAGGAATTATGCTTTTAAATGTTATTGGTACAGATAACTCGAGAATAGCATTTTCATCAGAGCTTTCAGAGGTAAAGAAACGAGCTATCGGCAACTTTGTCTTAGCTAGCTGCTCCTCATACGTTTTCCCAGTCGACTTTTCTATCATATAATATTCTATACTTAAGTATAGGCCGGTTTCTTCATATAAATTTCGTATAGAGAGAGGGGTTTGATGTTCAATTTCGCCTTTCCTTACTTCTCCATCGTCTAAAATGTAATAGCTGCTATCGTAGACATCGGTATCGTAGTATGTTGCCTCCACACTTAGACGACTATGCGAAATACCAGCATCAATTGAATTTTCGTAAATTTTTACCAACTTTTCAACAGCCTATTTTAAAAAATCGGAAAATTATAGTATATTAAACTTACAGGCCGTCTAATGCACTATACCTCAAGATCTAATCTTACATCACAGATTTTAAGAGCTTCTGGTGTAAGACCCACTTCTCTATAATCTTTAAATGTCATCTTATACAACATGGATGTCGGTATTTCACCTCTGAACATAGCTCCAGGAACAGTGAATTTTTTATTACCATAAACTGACTTCCACAACTGACGTGTTCTTTGAAAAGTATCAACATCTTCAGAATCATGCTTGAATTCATCTGGCCAGTAAGAATCATGTTTAGGAAGAGAACCAATAATCTTTCTCATTGACATTCTATAACTGCTTGGCATTAGCCTATGAGCACACCAAACTGCTATAATATCATTTAAGGGAATCAGTTTTTCATCGGGATGTCTGGCTTGAAGATAAATTATTCTCTTATACCGCTTGATAGCAGTACTTATGAATTTCGAATCATGATAGTGAGTTTGGTTGAGTTGATAAATTAAATTTCTCAGATTTTGTGCGCCTTCAATAATATCGAAACTGGTTTGTTGTTGATATCCTCTTGCGAAATCGTAGGTCTGTAAAGAAAAACAATTTAAATACATAGTTTAAAATTCTACACATTCCAATTACTTTAACATCAGATAAATTTAATGTGAAAACGTCATTAAATTCATCCTGCCAGCGATTTTCTGCAGTTTGTATTGCTTTACTTCGTTTATTAGTGCTTAGTAAAATATGTTCAACATTCCTTCCGAACAATCTTTCACAGTCAGCTTCGTAAGTTTGTGGTAAGAGCATATGTATTATCCAAACAAGATAAATATCTGTAGGTGGGAGAATTCTCAGACCATCCGATCTTGACGCCAATCGTAACCATTGCGTTTCGTATCGTTTTAGAGCATTCTTGAGAACAGTTTCGTCAAATAATAAAGCATCTGTGAACGTTGAAAAGATATCCAACATTCGTCGAGTACATTTCAACAGATCAACATCCATAATCATGTTTTCGGGGTTAACCATAGTGACTTGAAGCAGGACTGACAGCTATTAAGTTCTGGCCTCCTTTGACACGCCTTAGGCCGGTGTTTAGCAATTGTTATGCGGCATGAATAATCAATATCTATTGAAGAGACTTCAATGCAAAACTTTTTATTGAATACTTTTCTCAGCTATTTTCATATTCAGTGTATGTTATTATATATGTTGCAACGATGACGATAAATACCAACTTCTCATAGTATAGGAAACACATTAATTTTAAAATAAATATTTTATATATTATTAAAAATATCCTAGCTATTGAGACTATAACTTGCCAATCCGAAGATTCAATACCGAAAATAAATATACTTTTGCATGAATTTTTTCAATTTCCTTTTAATACTTTAATTAAGAATATATAGGATTCCATAGTGGTCTATTTATAATATGTTTTAAAGCAAAGTAACTAAATCAATAGATAGAGTGATTGAAATTACATATTTTTCAAATGAGTCAGAACTTTATATTTAAAAATAAGATTAAACTATACGTATTATTGAAAGCGTTCGATAAGAATAATAAAAACAAATTAATCGCTTCCGTTCTATTTCGTTCCGAATGCTAAGAAATAAAAATAAACAAATGTTTATAGTATTTCTAATAATCAATGTAAAGGATCGGGGATGCTAAAATATCTATATAAACACATTTCAATCTCCTTAATAAAAACAGGAACTTCATTTTCAAAGTAAATATTAGAAAGACGAGTCATGCTTTCATACTGTATACATAAGAAAATCCATTGGTCGGTCTATAACAGAAGATACTTTCTACATAGTACCTCTCCTGTTATCCTTTTCATCGACAACACCCTAACAGTATTAAATATCCCTAATAACTTGTGAATCAACCTTTTATTTGAACCTTTTCTTTATTCATAGATAAAATAAACATAAAACATGTTCTATTATTAAATTTTTGAAATTATTTCGAAGAATATGTGAGCTTGTTTTTACTATTTTTCTCATGCTGGTGTCAATATTTTAAAAATCATTCAACTAGTTGGCGTAATAAAAGCGATAAATCGATTAAGAAATAACAATAACGAAGCCTTTAGACATAGAAAAGAGAAGAGAGAGACAGAGAGACAGAGAGACAGAAAAAAGATAAGAGAAGCAATTCTAGTTTTGTAATATATTAATTCTATATCCTTGATATAGTTAGTATTTATAGAGTTTTGAATTTCACAATTCCTCAATAGCTTCTAGACATGATATTATTCCCTACATAATTTGTATCATATGCATATTTCTGACATCATTTATTGCTTTCAAATGTTTCCCAATATAATTTACTCTATATATAGTAAATACTATGTCTTTAAACAATTTTGACCGTCGTAAATGTCCTGTAAACCATTCTCTATTGAACAATCGGGATAGATCAATAAAAGTACCTGAGAATTTTAGTAATATTCTCAAAAATTTATCATATGCCGTTCTTAAAAATCAACCAAAAGACATCTATAAATTTTCAGCAGAGTATTTCCAATCTCAAATTAAAATTGGTATTTTCCCTTCTTTACTTGCTTAGTATTCTTATTGAATTAAATTATTAAAATAATTTTAAGAGGAAGCACTCAGAGCTACTACTGAATCCACTGTGGGTAATGTGAACGCAAACTTTTCTACGGATGATAAATTAGATTTACAAAATCCTTATCATTCAAAAGAATCGAAAAATTTAACAGTAAAATGACTTTTAATTTTATGAAATTAGACATAACAAGAATTACTTTCAGCCATATAAAAGATACAAGAAGGAAGGGGAAGTAGATAAGTACCTTAATGACATTCGAGAATATAGTATGGGTTTGTAAGAATAAAAAAAAAAATATTTTAACATGTACTAGAAAAATGTTATACTTTTCCCGCAGATGTCATTGCTAACGTAATTTGCACAGCTCAGAAAACTATCTAAATTTTTCATTCAAATGAGAAGAATTATTAAAGTTAACTAACCTTATTGAAAAAAAATAGGATACAAACTGAGATTTTGATGTAATATAAAATACTTTAATTTAATTTTTATAAGATTATTAAGATATATGAATTATCAGTCAACGTTAGCTCTGTCATATTTTTCAACAGGAAACATAGTTCTTGGATAGTCAGTGTTCTTCTTCACAGGTTGAGAGTACAACCTTTCTTCAGCACCAACTACAGATACAGGTGACATCTAATTTATAAAATTAATATGTTGTACAGTATATAATACATTTGTTAATTATCTTTACGTACGGAAGCTAATTTCAATTCGTCATACACCCTCTTCATTTGTTTGTTATGTTCAATCCAGTCCGCAGATTTCTTTGTGAAAGCTGAATATAATTGCTTGTTCTAAAATAATGAATAAAAAAATAACGTCATAGCTTGCAATAAAATTGTCAAGTAAGCTCACCAATTCTTTTTCTTTTCTTAGCCTGTCCATCAGCTTTTTTCTTTGATCTTCCGAAGCTCCTACTTGAGTCTAAGATGTTAGAAGTTTCATCAATTCTTACAAAAATTCTCTTAAATATCGTAAAATATAATAAACGATTTACCATAGCAGCATCACTTTGTTTGCGGTACTTCACGGCATCGCTAATTAACTTGCTATTTTCTCGCTTTAAATTTTCTAACTCCTTCTTCATTTCAGCATTGTCCTTTTGTAGATTGTGATTTTGTCTTATTATATCTGTCATTGAGAAGGGGGCATTTAAACTTTTCACAGATTTTTCTTTAACAATTCGGTAGATATGTTCCTTTAATTCTTCTTCGGAAACTCCCTTTGTTTTCGTCTCATTCTTTTCAGTTTTGACTTCTTCATTTTCATTTTTTCCTGAACCCGAACATTTATTCTTCTCCTCCAGTTTCCTAAGCTTTTCTTTTGCTAAGTAATGTTTAATAAAGTTACTGACAGTGGTAATGATAGTTCTTAAAATAAATGCTAATTTCACATCACTTGTTTAGGTTTTGCTTGGTTTTATTTCATTTAAGTACCTTGTTTAGCCTCTCTTTCGTATTTTTGCATAAGTTTCACTGCATTTTCTCTAGACATTTTCGAACTTCTTTCAGTTTGATCATTCTTCCTTCTCGTGTGCTCCTTTTTTATAGTTTTTAGTCTCTGATGCAGATCAACTTCAGCTTGTAAGGTTTGTTGTTCTTCACCATATTTCTTTAATAAATTAGCTTTATAAGTACACCTTTTTTTTCGTTCGTCCATGTTGACACAAGTGGATGTTGCTAAGCATTAAAATTCCCCTGTTATTGTCCAGATGGCGTGAAAGATTTTGTCATTATTCTATAATCCGAAAGCATTGTTAGAAAAATTTATTGGCTTATTAAAGAGAGTGCAGTAGTTGCCTGAACAAATTTCAAAAGCAGTTTAGAGCTAGAAATGAAAAAGGTATAAGTTTACGTTGTAAACTAGATTAGCTCACACTGAGAAATTTATTAATTCCATCATTTTACAAAGACTATCTCAAATGACGATGATAATGGAGTTTCGAAAGTTATACATATCATCGTTTACATAGCCTCTTTATAAAAACAGCAGTTTAGTATTTAGTTTTATAGAGCACCTTTTGAGCTTTCATAGAGACTGAATGAAGTTCTGTCCTGAGAAAATTAAACTTCATTTATTCTAATTTTCACTAAACTCAGTTTACTCCTTCCTATTGAGTTCTCAACTAGAAGTAAGAAAATAGCAAATAGATTTTTGAAATTATCGCGGGCTTATGTGAAGGAAGCGATGCTTCAACATTCTGTTCCGTATATCTAGACTGGTACCAACTCCTATTTCATTCGTTTTTGATTGCCTTAGTTTTTGAAACTCATCCACTCTAGACAGACGACGTAAACGAGATCTCGAACTACGGGAAGAAAATCTCGCCACGTTTGACGCCGTCGTGTCCAGAAGTGATTTTCCCGACGTTTTCCATTTAAGTTCATATCCTATCACCTTAAATAGGTAATTAAAATTATATTTAGTTTATTTGATAATTTTCCGACCATGTCAATTTTTAATAAATGACCAATTTTATATAATCGCCACATAGATTTAGCATGCCGACATCTACAAGCAGGTATTGTTTGTTAAAGAGCATTTTATTTAGGCTAATTCCTTTTCATTTTCAACATTGTGTGTCATTTTTATAATTTATTTCGAAACCCTTCAAATTAATTCTGATTATCTATTTCATATTGTTTCTATTTTAGTACTAGTAACGCTATGGCATCGGCCGAGCAGCCGTGTTATACCCTGTTATATTCATCGAATGACGATGAACAGGCCAATGAATTGCAGTTGAAACAGGATTTGGGTAAGATAGCGTATTTTTTTAATATTTTTACTAATTGAGTGTCTATAGAAAAGGGCTCAACGAAAGAAAAACAGGAAGCACTTAAGAAGGTTATTCAGTTGATACTAGCGGGAGAGAAGATGCCTTCACTGCTTATGACAGTCATTCGGTTCGTCATGCCTAGTCAAGATCACATGTTGAAGAAACTACTATTGATCTTCTGGGAAATTGTTCCAAAGTATTCAAGTGATGGTAAATTGATGCAGGAAATGATATTAGTCTGCGATGCGTATAGAAAGGTAATAATTAAAAAGGACATTAATTGTTCTATATTGTTTATTTGTTTAGGATTTACAACATCCCAATGAATTTATTCGTGGATCAACTTTAAGATTTCTTTGTAAACTCAAAGAATCTGAGCTCTTAGAACCTTTAATGCCCGCCATTCGCTCTTGCTTGGAACATCGTCATTCTTATGTTAGACGAAATGCTGTTTTGGCCATCTTTACGATATTCAGGTATGCTCTTTTCATAATGATGTACTAATAGATCCCTCATTTCTGTATATCTGTTTTACAGAAATTTTGATTTCCTTATTCCTGATGCTCCTGAATTAATTGCAAACTTCTTAGAACAAGAACAAGATGCCTCTTGCAAGAGAAATGCTTTTATGATGCTCATTCATGCTGATCAGGACCGAGCACTAAATTACTTATGCAGCTGTATAGACCAAGTAAACAGTTTTGGTGACATTCTGCAATTAGTAATTGTTGAACTCATCTATAAAGTTTGTCACGCAAATCCTTCGGAAAGAGGAAGATTCATTCGCTGTATTTACAACCTTTTGAATTCTAACTCTGCAGCAGTACGGTTAGTTTGAATGTTTTCTGTTATAGGAAGAATACGCTAATAAATTTTGTTCATAGATATGAGGCAGCCGGTACTTTAGTAACTCTGTCCAATGCTCCAACAGCCGTAAAAGCAGCAGCATCCACCTACATTGAATTGATCCTCAAGGAGAGTGATAACAATGTGAAACTAATTGTTCTTGACCGACTCGTACAGCTCAAAGAATTGCACGAGAAAGTCTTGCAAGAACTAATCATGGACATAGTTCGAGTACTTATTACACCAGACTTGGATGTACGCAAGAAGACATTAGATCTAGTTTTGGATTTGATATCATCGAGAAATATTGAAGAATTAGTTCAAGTTCTACGTAAAGAAATTGTTAAGACCAATAATTCAACTGAACAAGAGGATATGGGAAAATATAGGCAATTACTAGTTCGAACACTTCATCACTGCACTATCAAATTCCCTGACCAGGCTGCGTCTGTTATTCCTGTTCTCATCGAATTCTTATCGGATCAAAATGAATCGGCTGCAGTAGATGTTTTAGTTTTTATAAGAGAAGCTATGCAAAAGTTCGAACAGCATCGTAATCTAATGATTGAAAAATTATTAGAAACATTCTCATCTATAAGATCAGTAAAGATATATAGAGCTGCCATTTGGATTTTAGGCGAATACTGTAAGAGCGTGGAGGATTTACAAGCTGTTATGACCTTAATCCGTCAGTCTTTAGGTGAACTGCCTATTGTTGAGGACGAGCAACACCAATTATTAGCAGAAGCAGGCGGTGAAACAAGCGAACAATTAACGGCGCCTAATACTAATGTTCAACGTTTGGTAACAGCCGACGGTACATATGCTACACAATCAGCCCTGATTTCAACGTCTTCAAGCAACACGAAAAGGGAGCGTCCAGTTCTCAGATCTTTCTTTTCTGATGGAGAATTTTTCGTTGCCGCTGCCCTCAGCACAACTCTCACCAAGATGGCTTTACGCTATGTAACTTTGGTACCCGAGAAGGAAAAACAAAATAGATTTGTCGGTGAATGTTTGTACATTGTTGCTTGTATCATGCATTATGGAAAATCTGGTATGCCCACAAAACCAATCAATGAAGACGATTATGATAGATTATGCCTCTCGATGAGAGCATTATGTGAACAGGTTCCAGTGTTAAAACACGCATACATAGATGATTGCAGAAATGCCTTAAGAGAAATGCTGGCTGCCGTTGCCAAAGAAGAGAAGGAAGAGGCTACAAAGAAATCTGGTTCAACTGTTAAGGTTCACGCCGATTCACCTGTAACGTTTTCACAGCTATTAGATAGTAATGAGCTGGGAGTTGGCGAAGATTTGTTTGAGTTAACGCTCAGTCAAGCCTTAGGCGTTAAAGGTGAAAAAACCGACACAATATCGTCCTCGAAGTTAAATAAAGTCACACAGTTGACCGGATTCTCTGATCCAGTTTATGCCGAAGCATACGTAAACGTCAATCAATACGATATAGTATTGGATGTTCTAATCGTCAACCAGACAGCAGATACATTACAGAATGTTGTACTTGAATTAGCAACTCTAGGGGACTTAAAGTTGGTTGAAAAACCCTCACCAGTTACACTGGCACCAAATGATTTCAGTAATATAAAGGCGTCAGTAAAAGTAGCTAGCACCGAAAATGGTATAATATTTGGAAACATTGTTTATGACGTGTCTTCGGCAGCTTCAAGTGGTAACTGTGTTGTTCTGTCCGACTTACATATTGACATTATGGATTATCTGGTGCCTGCCTCTTGCACTGATACCGACTTCCGACTGATGTGGGCTGAATTTGAATGGGAAAATAAAGTCGCTGTCACTACTCAGTTAACCGACCTACGTGACTATTTGGACCAGTTGCTGAAAGCAACGAATATGCGCTGTCTAACGCCACCAGCAGCTTTGGACGGTCATTGTGGATTTATGGCAGCGAATTTGTATGCCAAGTCGATTTTCGGAGAGCACGCTTTGGCAAACGTTAGTATCGAGTTGCCTCCGTCAGGAAATAAAGCTGTTGTGGTTCAGGGTCATATTCGAATTAGGGCCAAGAGCCAAGGTATGGCTTTAAGTTTGGGCGATAAGGTGAATTCTTCTCAGAAAAAATTTAAACCAACCAGTTCTGTTGCTGTTGGTGAACATTAAAAAAACTCTTTGACATTTTAGTTTCTTTGCTGTAATTATCTAATTTATAGTTTAATAATAGAAAATGCGGCGTTTATTGATTGGTCCGAAATATATAACTTTCAAATTTAGCACATGCTTTCTTAACATTCACTTATACAAATATCGTATGTATAAGTTTATACTTAATATATATGTATATATGTATATCTGTATAAACACATACATGAAAATATATATATGTATCTCATACAAAGCATAAACAAGAATCATATGCATATGTCAAAAATACATACATATATATGCGACTAGTAGTAATTGATGACTAGACTCTATGTTAAGACGGCAAGAGTCGGTCGTATCGATTTTTGCGTTAGAGCAGGATACACTTTTTACGGCAGGAATTTTTTGAATCTTGTGTAGTTGTGGCTCTATACTTCCTAACAATCCGTACTAACTGATGAAAACAAAGTTCAACGTTTGTTCCCAGTTTGGCACTTGCCTCAACAAATTGTAGACCTAGACTGTTTGCCAAATTACGTCCCTCTTCCGTGGAAACATTTCTTTGATTCTCTAAATCGATTTTATTACCAACGATCAGCATCGGATAGTCTTCACTTTCTTTTACACGACAGATTTGCTTAAACATTTTCGAGACATCATCGAAACTATTCCTATCGGCTACCGAATATAAAACAATAAACCCCTCCCCTGATCTCATATATTGTTCCCTCATTGCGCTAAATTCTTCCTGTCCAGCAGTGTCCAATACTGTTTAGCAGAAGACATTTTAGTTTTGTTTGATAAATAGTAGAATTATCTTACTGTCTAAGCGAGCAACAACTCCATCAATGACACATTGCTTCGAATAAGAGTCTTCAATAGTTGGATCGTAATCGGTTACAAAATAACTCTGAACACAAAACAAATATATATATGCAATGACTATTTGTTATACGCACGTACCTGGATAAATTGAATAGTTAACGCGCTTTTGCCGACTCCGCCACCTCCAACAACCACTAACTTATAATTTTGGTTGTGACGGGCCGCATTTCGAATATTTAACATATCTACGCCGTTTATCAGCCTTTTCATAAGCGAAAGAGATAAACCTTTTACTATAGATGGCGTCGTAACATTTCAATTCACCGCGAGGCTATCAGTTAACGGCGGGAAATCCAAAACAGGCTACGACATTACCTTATCCTATACACAGATTTTAGATTCGTAGAAATTAGGCTTTCCGATCACTCCGCATATAGGTTATAAAACATATTTAGGCTAAAATGTGTGTTCCGGTTATTATTCAATCTTCTAAATAGAAGTCTGTGGCTTATTATTAAAATATATGATTTTTAAGCTGTATAAATATTTTTTGTTTGAGCTGTTAACAATCTATGTCTTTTTGTTTTTATGTCAAAATATTTCCTCTAAAGAACAATTGATAAATTTTTGATATTTCTTTTATGTTTATTTTAATGCTTTATTTTATTCATAATTTCATTTCCTATTTGCAGCTTATCTAATAATATTTACTAATATATACAAGGTGAGCACAAAAAAAATACGATTAATTTGATTTATTATGGGGGTTTTAGGGTAGAAATATGAATTTACCTCATACCAAACAAAAATATATTGCTTATTATTGAGTGTTCTTCAAGTAGTAATCAATTTAGTTCATTTTTCTTGCGAAAACTCTAAGTGCAGTTAAATCAATCAAGGAAGTTCCTCACCACTTGATCGTCTTGTTATCTCCGGACTAGAGCAAGGGGCGGCCGGTGGAGAATGTGCTCTTGGTAACCTAATGTTAATGATAGTTCTTGGAGGACCAGATATTCCTGTTGGAGCTGTAGGAGTAGAGTCTTGTTCTTTATTGATATCCTTCTCCTGCCTTTTAGACGAATTTATCAATTTTTCTTTAAAATTGGTAACAGACTGTAAATTTTTGAAACATTTGGATTTTTTCTTTTCCAGGCGATTATTGTATAAGCCTGTTAGAATTTCTAGTTCTCCTTTTGTCATTGATTTTCTGTTCCTATAAACGAATCTTCCAGGTGGAGGATTAACTTTATTCCTTGGTAGAGCATCAGTCCAATCAAAAACGCTTGCTACGCTAATAGGACGACCAGACATACCGTCCATGAAATGTAACGAATATGTATCGCTAATAAGCAGGACGGCAAATATCCCGATTGAGTGTTACAAAAAAAAACCTTATATCAAATGGCCGAGTGTAGAAGATACGTTCGATTCACGATACTTTTCCAATTTTTATCGTACCTGGTGTATATTTATTGATCAAGATCAAGAATAAAATCAAAAGAATTTTGTCGGCTTCTCTGTTGGTTTTATGTGCGCCAATTTGTACAAAAGCTAGTACAGTGTTAAGTGTCAATATTTTTACAGATTATTAGACAGCAAAATTCATGATTTAGCCTATTCGTCAATTTACTTAGTAAATATCTTGAAATTTAATTAATGCACTTTTAAACAATAGTAGAAGACGATCAACAAAACAGTGATTGATAACTGAATAATTAATGATAAGGAATATTCAATCCACAAATGTGATCGATAGGTATTGCATATCAACTTAAATATTCATCGATGGATACCTTCTACTAATGGATGAAGCTAATCGTATAAAAATTAACTCTACCCTACGACTTTGATTCTACGAATATCAAACACTTTTAAATATAACTTACCAGATAATTTATTAAGATGATCTCTTCTTCTCTATCTTTAATAGTAGATGTCCTGACGTAAGTGAAAAGTATGTTGAATGTACAGTTTACAAAGAATGTTTGTGCGATAAACATTCAGCCTTATTTAACGATACGTGTATATTCTCGCACTTATGAAAACACATAACTACAGTTGTCCGCTACGACATCTAGTATAAAAATAAAATGTTCAACATTTGAAGCTTGTAAATAATGGGAAAAACAATGAGTTAATCTAAATAAAGTTTCTTTTTTTTTAAATGTATTATATCTTAGTGTGTTTGCGGCAGTTTACTAAAAAACTATTGTTATTTTTTATATGCTCGCTCGATTCTTTCACACAAGGCCAATGGAATATAGCGTTACATCTCTTTACTGAACAGCATACTGTAGCAACGACTTTGTTGCACTTTGAACACTTTTTCTGCCGTTTTACAATTTCTTTTAATCCTTCGAGTTCACCATCCTCTTTTAAATAAACACCTGTAGACCAAATTAAGCAGTGCTCGTGAATATGAACTTTCAAATTATCAATATCGTATGGGCCATACACACGATCTAATGAATGCTCTCTGCATAAAAAGCATCCGAATTTTGAACGTTTTAACTTTTTCATGGGTATCTTTGATTTGGTTTTTGTGTCATTCGTATTATGTTTTGCTTTTCCTGCATTAAGCTTTTTCCTATTACGCTTTTGCTTTTTCATTTCATTATTTTCTAACTGAAAAGATGATAATGTTTCGTTACAATTTTTATTATAATCCAAATTTTCCAGACAAGGAAGTCTTGGAGGGGGTAAGGGAGGTGTAGGTGTCCTAGGCCTAAGAGAAAGCTTCGTATTTTTTGACTTCTTAAGTATTTTAGGTATGCTCTTCTTAAACTTTGCGTAAGATATTGCAGTTAAAGTCTTTCGTTTCTTGCTCTTAGATGCTCGAACCCATGATCTTTGATAGAATATTTTATTTAATTTATTAAACTTTTCATAATCTTCACGAGCATTGTTGTGGACTTCTTTCTCGGAATCGACCGGAACTGATGCATCTCGAGCTATTAATATCTGCTTCCTTCTTCTTTTTACACTTTTCCAATTATTTCCATTGCCAGTATTCGTTTTTTCAACTGGTGAAGATTGCATATTTTTGAAAAATATTAAAAACCTTACAATATCGACCCTGAGATAAATAGAAGGGCGAAATATTACCAGTTTTCGTTCAAATTTATTTGTATTTCTAAAGTAACAGATTTTTAACATCTTTGTTTGAGTATAATTTAATTAGTATAGAAAGTACTTGAACGATGGGCTGAGATACATAGAAAATCAACAAAATGATCAAGGTGCACCAATAAAAATATTAAAGCACAAATACAAATGTAAAAGCAGAGCTAACTCGAAATTCTTTTATACAATTAATCTGTCTAGAAGATGGATTATACAAATATTTTTCATAATATAAAATTTATATTATCAAATAAAACCAATATGAGAAAAGTAGAAGAAAGCATGTTATTTCGTGTCTTTTTTACCGCCATGAAATTCATTGATGCACAAATGACAACTCCAACTCCCTGATAAATAAATATTAATTAGATAAACAGTATAATCGGAACAAAAATCTTACCTTCTGGTGGTTCAGACAGAGGTGGTTTTAAGCAATACATGTGGTAACCTCTGTCGCAGTCATCGCAAAATAAAAGTTGGTCGTCATTATCAGACGTTCCGCACAAGCCACAGCTTTTACATTCTATACATTGCCAAGCATATTTTTTGACCGAAGTTATCATATTGGCCGTAAATTGAAGGCAAGAAGGATGCCCAGATCTGCCACAATCGGAACAAGAAACTAAGTCTTCTCTAATGCCAGTATGCGTATTTTTATTCTTATCGCCAAGACAAAAATCACAATAATCATTGGCTTCAGCCTTTTCATCAACTTCAGAGCGTGATGCCTGAGTAGTTGCTGGTGGAGGAGCGGGCTGAGAGAATGTTGCTGGCTGTGCTGAATTCCGAGTTGACCTTCCTGTAGAAGATAACAATACTTTTTGCTTAATCTTTTCACTTGGGAACAAATTCTGGGTTACTCACCAGAAACAGTTTCGGTGGTATCTTGAGATGTTGATTGTGGTGGGGATGCATTTCTTGGATGATGAGGGGCATGATAATGATTCATATGATAGTGTAAACCTGCTCTGGTTTTATAGCGAGCACCACAACCTAAAAAGTAAGAAATCTTTGTTATAAAAAATAAAATTAATTTTTAGCAAAAATATAGCTTTAGAAAACTTGTTTTTAAATGTTATATATATATATAAATATATGACATACTTTCGCATTTATATGGTTTTTCTCGATCTTCAAAATCACCTTCCATAGTAGACCGAGCTGTTCTTTTGCTTTTTGGTCTCCCTCCATAAGACTGAAACAGCAAAATCATAGTAAAAGGTTTTAAACCTTTGTTGGAAGTTACCTTTGTTTGTTTGTTCTTCTTGCGTTTTCTCTTAACAAATTGATCTTCGAAGTCTGAAGAGTCTGAATTTGGATCGTCTATTTCCCCAGCATCAGGGGGCTCATCTAACTCATCATAGTCTTCAACGTACCACTTATCTCGACTATTTTCCCTGCTAGGAGAATCTACCGTTTGACTTTGTTGTTTTTCAATATTGCATCGTATGCCAACAATTGCCGGATTTTCAGCAGTGCTTATCCTTTGTAAATCCTCATCAGTTATTTTACCTTCGTGAGCTTTTGTAATTAAATCCTGTTGACTAGGTGTCTCTCTCTTTCTTTTTTTCCATTTACGCTGTGGGTATGTATAAATTTGACCTAGAACAGCTCCAGGTTCCCTTTCATGAGGAGATGCCCACAAATGGCAATGATTTTGTGCAATACGCGTCTGACTATCCAAGAATGGTAGTCTCATTTTTCTTTCATTCGAAATTTTAAGGTTGAAACTTGACATGTTATACATTGCATCTTCGTAATATTTTTTTGTCAACGGACCGCTAAAAGTATAATAAATAGATTAATCGAAAAATAAAAGGCAAATTTTATCTACTTACCTAGATTTTCGATAGTAGTAATTCGCTGGCGTTATGGAAGCAGCCATCTTGCTCATTGTATAGGCTTAGTGACATTCACTGTGCACGAAGTAACCGGTTCCTTCGGTAACCACTTTTAACTGACCGGTTTGTAATATAACTTATTTGAAAAATATCGACTAGCAATAAAGTATTTTTTAAAGTTATTATTCATTAAGTAAAAGCAATTAAACCATTTGTAAGGATTTTAGCACCAAGAATTAAACACTTAAATCACCTATTTTTCAATAAAATTAGCATAATGAAAGGGAATAAGATATTTTTTATTGCATCAAAAGACGCTTTCAGTTAATTTGAAATCAATATTTTCGGTCTATCTAATCGAGTGACCCAGTATTGAAATAGACAATGATCTATGTCAATAGAAGAGCTGTTATGAACATTGAGAAAAAGTTGACAGTTACGTTTTTAAGTTGTTTGCGAATCGATAATTCTCCTAATGATTTCAAAGCTTTTGGTCATAAAAATATTTCCACCTTTCAATAAGATAATGTGGCCTGCAGATATCACTGATTACATTGTAGCTGAAAAATAATATCTATAATCAGGCTTTAAAAAAAGTATTATCACTTAATATCTTTTATTAATCATTAATTAACAATCAAACAAAAGGTGACTTTTGGGTGGGAAGGGGGAATAAATTCTTTATTTCGCATTAGAATTTATTTAATGTTAATTACTAAACAAACAATTATAAAGGAGTTACCATATATAGCCACAAAGAGATTTTGATTTTTTCAAAGTTGATTACAGACTAAATTCGTTTGAATTTTTGATGTAATCGATTTGTATTTAATAAATGCAATACTTGTAGAATCATTCTATAAATCATGTTTTAACTTTGGCACACAGTATCCGTTTGTTTCTGGCCACTGCCGAGCATAAGTAGGATATGTGGGTCTATGGAATGGTTTGTTACGTCTGCAGATTGTGATATTACCCCTTTGTTGATCCTCAACAACACTCATTACATCCAAAATTGAATCCAACACTTTTTTAGCATCGTCACTCGAATTCACTCTCCTTTCCATAGCGTGTCGACATACCTGAACATGGGCTCTTAAAGGAGAAGCGTACAAGAAAACTTTGGTGCAGTCCGGGCTGCCAGGACAGGTCCATCGAATGGGCATATCGTAGGCAAGTATTTGAAATATTTGATAACTAAAGCCGATAGATTGAGAAATATTCTTAAAATATTTTGTTTATATTATTATATATACCATAGGATATTCACTTACCGTACAAAATAGTCACTTTTATATCAAAAATTTTCTACAATAGCCGTTCACAAGAAAGAGTTGGACTTTAAATGAAAGCTTGTCGACAGGTAATCGATCCGTTTAACAATACATGATTATGCAAACTTTAAAGGCGCTATTGATATAGAACGAAATAGGCTGTCAACAATGTTTGCCCACTTCGATAAACGTTGTATTCATTGCTTTGCCACTATAATTAATCGATCAAGCACACAATTTTGTATTAAAATTTTCGTCTATAATAAGATTTAAGAAAAGTCGCATATAAAAATATCCTAATCAGTTAAACATTAGCAGTTTTTGAGGTCGATACGGAAGGGCCGCCATCTGCCGGTATTTGAAGTAGAGATTTTATTATATCAGCGTAATAAGCTCCAAAAGTAGATCTGTTGTGTCTGCATAGGTGTATCAGTTGACCAGATATAATTCCAAGAGGTTCTGCTACGACACTTAGACCTATTGAAGAGTTAATAAAATTATAATTGTAAATAGCGATTACTTCAAGTATATAACCTTGAGGTATCTTCACTTGTCCTTGTGACATAGAAAATGTGAGTAGTAGTCCTTTAAGAAAGCTTCTAAATCGTTGCCACAAAATTTTTCTCACAGGGGAATCACTATCAAAAGTATGTTGCACATTATGTTTTAGTAAGTCACTCTTTTCGCTGGTTAACTTAGAAAAGCCATGCTTCTGTAGAGCATCATCAACGTCTTTGACCACTTGCTCACAAACGTTGGACGAAATTTTTTCTTTAATATCGGAAAAGGCGAAATCAGACATAATAGATTCCATATGAGAACGAAGATCTAGTTTTAATTGTTCTAAGCCAGCTATAGACGCACCAACAGAGTTGAAAGTCATTAAGACGATGGAGGCCATTAAAACTAGCCGTCTTGTTTTATCTGATATCGCGGTGAGACGCGCTGCGTCCATTAACAGCGTCTATTCAATAGATTTGAAATATCATTATTAGTACAATTTCACATATAAAATACCTCTGGATATTCCTCATTGGGAGCTCTATCGAGGAGATCAAGGAAAGCTTCAGTCAATAACTCTTGAGGCATGATACCAGCGGAAGCATTTTGTGTATTTTCCTGATCATTTAAACGCTTATGAGTATTTTCTATCCATTTTTTCGTATATACTAAACCATCAATTCCGTGCTCTGCTTGTACTTTTAGAAATTGTTGAAATTTTTCTCTTTCGTACTCAGCGCTTTGCTTTTGAATAATTGGTCTAACTTGCTGAATAGTAAAGTTTGTGAAATCTAACTTCATATTTTCTAAAAGCTTAAATATTCCTCTGAAAAAGAAATGTATTCATAATGTAATAAATTCATAAACAATTATTTTATTAATTACTTCAGAATGTCGACGACTCCTTCAGTATTTCTTATTTCAGCTATCTCTTCATCTCGAACAGGGGCACATATTTTTGAGAGAAGCTCAAGTATGAATTTAACTGTTTTCTGTATTTCAAAGCAATCGTTCTCCATCTCTTGTTTAATAAGTTCAAGATCCATAAATTCGTTTAGTTGATTTTTCAAAGTTGGACTATGCTGGGGTAATAAAGTCTCTGTTGTCTAGCAACAAAAAACTGAATAAATATTAGGTGTATAATTGGAAATTTCTTTCCTTACTTCTTTGACTTCTTGCATTAAAACTAGGACATGTGAATAGTCTGGCTTTTCCTGCTTTAATTTTTCTTCTAAACTATCCCAAAAAGCTTTCTTCATTATTTCTTCAACTTTTTTCGACACACTTATAAGAGACATTTATAGTTAGACAAGAAGAGAAAATATCTTCCATATACCTATTCTCGGATAGCTCAGGCTTCTGTACTGTAAATTCCGAATTAACAGCAATCTCATGAGCCAACGCCATATTGTTCACTCCTTCCGCAGCTTTCATAATTTCTTCTAATATCACATATTGAGGCGGAGATGCTAAATTAAGAAATTATGATTTTTAAAAAAAGTTCTCGAATATTCGAATAGAAGGCACTAACGCTTAACCATAAACGGGTTTGAATGATCGCTTGAGTTAGAGAAACTCGGAGAAGCACTTCTTTGTTTTTTCGAATCAGGCGAAGTTTCCACATCTGAAGTTTTAATCGGCTTTGGGCTGGATCTTTTAGGGAGATCATCATTATTTTGTTGTTCACTCATCTTAACTGATTTGTATTTTATTGTATATTATTTTTTAAAAGTACTATAACGTATTTCGTAAGATTTCTCAATATATTTTCATTAGTAATGGGTACTACTAAATCCCATAGAGAACATAAAAGAACTCTTACTGAACAGGAAATTTATTAAGAATGTTTCCATGTTCATCTGAATAATTATGTGGGACATATTTTCTATTTATCCTACATTCATACACACATTTATAAGATTCACACTGTGGGCATTGCTCATAGGCACATCCTGGGCAATGAACATCTAAACAGTCGCACAAATCCAGACCACTTTTTTTCAGTCTTCCTTTATGATCATAAAATTGATTAATTCTGCATGTTCTTCTTTTACGTGTGTCCTTACGACCGTCCTTGTCATGTGTCCCTGAATTTGCTGCATCACGTTTTGGTCTACTTTGGGGGAAAATTGATTGCAAGCGAGATGAAAATAATCTTATAGTCTCTCTTCGAGGATTTCGCTTAAAAAGGTCTTTAGCATCCTGAATAAGTTTACAGCCAGCTTCTTTGACATTTGCACATTCATTGTCATTTAATCTCATATAATGTTTACCCCAAAAGGTAAGATAATCATCCCATGAATAAGGCTTTTCTTGAGCCATTTCCATTCCATTAGGATTTCTTATTAATACTTCGTTTTTTTCAAACATTTGGCAAGTGTAAATCAATGACAGAGCCGCATGATTTGTCATTTTCCTAAGATATTCTCCTATTTTGCCAAATTCCGGTGATGTAGGGGGAATTAAGCAAAGGAGAGCTAAAGGTAAATAGTCAGGCCACTCTGGATGAAGTTTTTCCTCAATGATGTCTTTCATATTCTCAAGATGTACAAAATATTTTTTTTTCAAAGCAAGATACTCCTCATTTGAAGATAGTTTCGGTAGTTCGGTAAAACCCGAAACATCAATCTTGCAAGACATGTTTGTTACCAAATTAGGGTACTACTAAATTTTTTAAATCTTACTGAAAGAACTTTTATTAAAATATTGATTAAAAACACGAAAATTAATCGGAACGAAATTAATTTAAACTATCTAAATTTTACAATAAAGAATTTAAGTTTATCATTGAAAAATTATTCGAGTTTTGTTAGTTTTAGACAAGAACCACATTACCAGGTAAGTTAGATGGCGGCTGTTTAAAGTGGGCTAGCTAAGTGATCAGTGTTTTTTGTGGAAAGCCTGAAAGTTATCGCTATGGATGGTATATTATCAACATTCTATATTTATGTAGATATTTATGTTGTGATACTTTCATAGTTTAATGAAAATTATAACTTAATCTCTATTTCTTATGTGCATTTTAACGTACCATCGTCAGGTGTGCTTTTTTTATGGCAATTTTATTTTATTGTTAATTCAAATAATACAAAAATACTTCAAATAACGTTTTAGCATTATAATATTTTAAAACGACCAAATTAACATAGGAGAGTCTTGATTAGAGTTTCGAGACTATCATATTCAAAAGGAAAACAAGAGAAAGTAGCGTCAACACAGCAGTCATTGTATTGTATAATTAACGTCGTTTAAGTTAATGGTATTCAAGTCATTTAAAGTTACTTCCCTCAAGTCATTTTGGTTATATTCTAACGTCATTCAATCGGAAATGTCGCTTAAGAAAAGATCTACGATACTTGATTTATTTAAGTTTAAATCTTTTTTTCGCAAAACTTGTAACCGAAGAGGGAAAAGTATGCAGAAGTTAAATAGCAGTTCAATAAGTTTGAATTCTAACATTAGAGGTATGTTGTTAAAGTGTCAGTGTTTGGATTTAAATTTTTTTATGAAATCACCAAGAGAAAGTGTTAACAAGAGCTAAAAGTGTTAGTCTACTGATTGAAACGAAAACTTTCGCCGAAAGCTTAAGATCAGTGGCAGTTTGTCCTTTAGAGTATTGTATTTGCAACCGGTTATTGTCTGTTATCTGATGCTATTAAAAAGTCTTTCAATAGTGTTTCTCAGCATCGGTGATTTCAACGGTCAATAGAGCCTCAGTTATATAATTTAGACTTTAACGATCATTCGCTTTTTAGTTTTTAACGGGACTAGAACATTTTGACAGTAAGATTAGAAAATAACTGTTATTTTCATTAATATATATTTCTGTATTTTTTTCTAGTGGGCCCTTTTAAAGCTACAAATCTATGGAAAGAAGTCGTAAATAGTGTTCATGAGAGAGTGGAAATTAAGAAACGTAGAGTTCGCCTGCGGCATTATGAATACTGCTTCTCTGGAACAGCAATAGTAGACGTAGTTCTAGATACTCTTGAAATGAATAGGGCAGTTCTCACTCAGCCTATATCAAGAGCAAAAGCTATTAAGCTTTGTCAACTTCTTTTAGACTCTCAAGAGATATTTAGCGTTGTCTCGTCTGCGTCTACATTTCAGGACAAGCAGAGTGCTATCTTTGAGGATAATTCTCATAGATTTTACAAACTACCTGAAGGAATTTGTGAAAATAAGGAAAACAGTTACGCTTCTCCAAAATTAAAAACTGTTAATGAATCGGCCTTTAGCTCAGTAACTAGAAAAAGCAGTTTAAGAGGGTCGTATTCGTTAACTCCTTATCTTCGAAAAAAGTCTAGGAGGACAACGGAATCTCTTATCGATACAAACAGTAAGTTATCAAATAAAGAAAATAAAATCTCTATTATCTTTTTTCTATCATAACAGCAGCCGAAGATATTTGGCGTGATGTTGCGCTATCGTATCTCTTACGTATTGTAGATTTACCTATACTGGATTCGATTCTAAGCTATGAGGTTCCTCAAACTTCTACTACGGGGGTGACTAATCTTGCTTTTCAGGGAAAAGCAGATTATTCTCTATCCTCTGTTTGTATGCATGAGGATGAAGATCAATGGAAGGAATCAGCACTTGAATGTATTGAATGTTTAGAATTGAGTTGCTCGAACATTGATTGTTCAGGTACAGCGGGTCGTCTTCAACTGTTTCACGTATTAAGACAACATTTAGAAAAGACACCTACGTCTGTATGGCCCCCCATATTCGCCGATCTGCATGTTTGTATATATGGACTTATCATGCAAGAAAAGCGAAACGACACCATTCAAGCATTACAATTAGCCATATTGATATTAGCACCCTCAGAGAGAGAAAAATTAAAGAGAATTTTGAAATTTATGTCAATAGCCTCCGACGACAATTCAGTACAGCTAAGTCGGACGGAGACAAATAGAGTTGTCGTAGAGAGAGCTTTTAGTGACGCCATTTTAAAAAACAAACTTCTAACTTCCCATCAGAGAATTCAACTTGTTTCATTTATGAGTCGCCATGTTGAACATATATTTCGAGTGCCCGAATTCGTTAGAAGAAGAGTACAAAAGCGAGTTTTGGCATTAGCGTGTGGTAAATCATGCGATGAAGATGTTATTACTCAATTTTGTGAAAAGGTACATGTGAATGAATATGAAGATCGAATTAAAAATTGTACAGAAGAATCATTAGCCGTTCTCATTAACCAAGTACTCGATGACACCAAAATGAGTTTAAAGGAGAAGAAAAGGCGATTAAAAGAATTTAAAAAAGTACACGAAGACATTTTTGTTAAATATTTTCCTCAAATGGATGAACTCAACTAACTATTTCATGTCTTTTGTAGTCGTTGCCTTTATGATTAATATAATTATCTGCTAATAAAGTTCTAAATGAAATATCCATTTAAAAGAAACATAATCTTATTACTCGCCTACGAAAGGGGTTGTATGGCACTTAGTTACACATAGACGTCACTTAATCCGTCTATTAATCCCTTTATTATCGTAATTCAAACAGCGCCATCTACTGTAGTTTCCTAGGAGACCTAATAGCTTATTTCATTTTCGACATCGTTTTGACGGCGACGTATAAGGTTAGTTAATTTCTAAGCTGCAATAAAAAGGTAGCAATGAAATCATTTTATTACTTCACTTTTAGCTTAACAAATAAGATTAACTTAATAAATGTTTGCTCAAAGTCTCAAACTTTACCGACTTCTTTCTATTCAACATTTTTGTGTCTATTATGATCGGAAGTTGTTATAAATGCTTTTTTAAATATGAAATACTTTTACTATTCAATGAATTTCAACGATGTTCACTTTAAATTTTTCACCCCTTCAAAATTCTATTAAAAAATTACATATTTTTTACGATAAGCTGATCGGAGATATCATTGTTATGACAACCTAATCATATGAAATGTAACTTATTTAACCAGTAATTGGACAATAGTTTGAAAATTCTTGAAATTATCAACTGATTAGATTCTCGCTTACGTCTTATAGTAGGCCTGATAATTTTGATCACTATAGCTACAAAGGTGAAAAGTTCGAGATGTCAGCAATTTTATTGTGCAATGCTTGTGTTTGTTACCCATTCATTGAAAATTGTATTCGTAAAGATATCAGTTTTTGTATATATATATATATATACATAAAAAAAAAGATGAATCAGCTTTACACCTCCATGATTGAAAGTATAACAAAAAATCAGATTAGGACAGGTAATAAAACATCAAACCAGCGCGAATGGTGTATAAATAACACTTGAGAAGGCGTATATAGTCTGGAATTAAGAAGTGGTGTGCAAACACTTAAAACGTTCGATCTTTAGGACCAATGGATTAGGAAATTTATACATAATCCTTTGCCCGAAGGTCTTTTTGTTCAGCACTTAGTGTATTACTAGAGAGAAATAATATATCACAATTATTGAATATTATTAATTGATTTATGGACGAGTTAATCTTCTCTTTCGGTATAAATAAAAGAGCACTTTATTATGATGACGTTGATGTTACTTAAGTACCATTGGTATCTTATCGAAATATTTTTTATGAAAATATTTGATTGCTTATGATCTGATAAATATTCCAAATAGGGAAATGGTATACACACCAACGAGACCAAGACAGCCTATTATGGCTGAATATAACAGCCCAGGTCCCGCCTCCTATAATTTACCATCAACAGTCGGGTTTCAAAGGCATGATGTTTCGAAAGATCGAGGGCCTGCTTGGCAATTCGGAATTAGACACGGGCATTTAACAAAGGATTCGAGTCCAGGGCCTGTACACTATCCCTCTGCGAGACATACTCGTTATGGCCGAGATGGTACTCCGAGGTATATAAAAGTTAACTAAATTAGAATGTGTTTTATAACGGGAGCTTTACAGTTTTACTCAAAAATCCCGACCAAAAACTCCCAAGTATTTTAAACCACCCGGACCCGGAACTTATTCCCCGGAAAATGCTGGGCCATCGGCATCCCCTAGAGCTCCATCGTTTTCTTTAGGGAAGAGAACAAACTTAAGAAGGGAAGACAGTAATCCTGCTCCTAATAATTATTCTCTGCCAACCCTTCTTGGTAAATCCTTCGAAGGAGATAAGGAGCAGGCGCCAAGATATAGCCTGTATGGAAGATCCAAAACAGGGGGATTTGATGAAGATTTACAAAAAACTCCGGGTCCAGGAACTTATCGCACTGCTGATCCGAACTCATACAGGCGAAGAGATCCATTATATAGTTTGACAAGTCGTCATGTTCCACCAGGTGACACCATAATCTTTTCAGAAAAAGTTATATTGTAACAGTAAATATTTCTACTAGGTGACGCCACCAGGAAGCCGGGCCCAGGAGCACATTCACCAGAAAGGGTAATCTTATTTTAAGTTATGTAAATTTATAAATAATTTTATTTGTTTGTATTAGGTCGTCATTAACAAAGCTATAGCTCCATCATTCTCATTTGGTGTCCATCACAGCCCATATACTGCTCCTATAATATTTAGCGATATCGAGGGATAAGGAGACTTACAAAATGGTGTTATGTCCGAGAGTTTGATTTTTATAATTTTGAATATTTTCAGTATTTTATATATCTGCAAAAATTTATATTTTCGCTAAACTTGCCAAATCGAGTGCTGTGACGGCGATATTAAACGACATTTGTCAATACACTTTACGAAAAATAATTAGGCCTATTATCCAGGATAGTTTCTGTTATGATTTCGACAACTAAAACTTAATGACGTAGCTATAAGTATTTACGATTAATTAAAACTCAGCACTTACTATTTATACCTGTATATCCCTAAAAATAAATTAACATACGTACCGATGTAAGTTGTACTCGCTGGCGTAGATCGTCATTTTATATTATACTATATATAAAAAGTTAATTACGAACGTAACACAAGTATAACAAACACGTGATTTTTTATATATTATAGAAAAGATTTTCGAAATAATTATATAGTATTAAATAGTTTTATAGTGAAAAAATTAGATTAATTTTCTAAATATCCTATTTTATAAATATAAATAAATAAATAAATAAATAAATAAATATATATATATATATATATATATATAAATTATATATATATATAAATATAAATTATATATATATATAAATATATATATATATATAAATATATATAACAATGACTGTTAAGTTGTATATGTAAGAGTATTTATTTAGAAGAATGTGGGGCGAATTGAAGACAAGTAAATTGCCTACAAAATCGGACTCAATTTAAAGAGCACAATCGAACTTTTTTAGCTTCTTCAATCGATTTGAATTGAACAAATGAATCGGCAATTGAAGCTTTTTCAAATCTTTTTCACTTGGCGTAAACACGTGAATTCCAGAACTAGGTGGCGCCCAAGATAATGAAAGGATGCCAAACGGGGGCATGCTGTCGGCCTCGACGATCCCGATCTGGAGATGAACAAATTATATAAGACTATCGGCTTTGTTGTTTTCTTCTTTCAGTTCATTTGTTCATTTGGTATAGGTGAGTAGTTATCTTCTTAATTATTATATTGTATAAAAGTTTTTACAAGTTGTGAAACATACCGAAAGTAGCTATTTAAGATTTCTTAAACTATAAATTAATTTATAATTGTTTATAATTTCTTATAATTGATAATAAATAATAAAATGCGTTTAGGGAATAAACATTTATTGTTGCGGTATGTCGTTTGGGAAAAGGCATAACTAAATTTTCACGACATTTTTTCAATAACATTCTTCTCATTCATTATACTCGTCTTTCACACTGAATCGCTTGTTGTAAGTGACATGTTGCTATTCCCGAATGTGTACACTCAATCACTTGCCGTTTACACGGTAAATGATCGCGCTTTTCTACTCCATTTTGCTACCGATAGCCTAATAGACGCATTCCCGGTAAATATTGACGTTTACATCGCCAAATAATCCCCCACGGCGTTTAATAAAACACATTCCTTTCGGTTAGAATTCGGTTAATTATCCAAAATGACAGAAATATGTGTCCTTGACAGACAATGGCTTTTCGCCGGATGAACCACTGGATCTAGTCGAACGAATCCTCCTCCACGGTTCCACTCATACCGTTTCTGCTATTAACGACTTCCTCTTTGAGAGTTCGAGTAAAACTGCTCGGAAAGCTGCGGATCTTTTTTCCAGACCTCATTCCACGCTGCTCATTAGTTTTCGACAAAGTCCCCTTACGACGACTTCTATTCTCACCTTAGGTTCTATGTTCCGCTTAGAAATAAGCGGCATAAAAGACGAAGTTAGAATTAACATTGGAGGAGATTTGACCGAAGTTTTAAGCTATCGGCTGGCCGATGGTAACCTTCATCGACTGGCGCTTTCCTTCTCGCCTAATCACGTAGAAATGAGAGTCAATTGCTCTGTAGTTTATCGACGACCGACTTCTTTTAGCAGTCTAATCAGTATTGACAACAGTAATTATCCCAATTTGAGAGTTGCACAATATTTTAAAGTAAGTAGAAGTTTTGAAAATTAAAATTTAGTTAATTTCTCTAATTTATTAACTATTTCTAACTTTCAGGGTTATTTGAAAGAAATGATAATAGTGAGCGGTAGTAATGGATACTCAATACAATGTCCGAATTCGAATATTCGTAAGTTCTCTTCTCAAGATAGCACAATTTGATAAAAGTGAACATCGATATATATATATATATAGCTATATTATGTTTTTTTTATAAATAGCTTGTCCCTCCTGTGAACAATTTCACAATCTCGTAGAACTAACAAAAAGAATGGAGCAGCGTATAGAAGAATTAGAAAAAAGGTTAACTTCAGCAGAGTCGACTCTTAAATGGGTAAAAGAAACCGAATCTGGAAAATATTGTCTTCATAATGGTAAACAGTATAGAAACTTGGAAAAATTTCATGATAAGCAATGCTTGGGGTACGAATGTCGAAATGGCTTCGTTAAGAGATTGAACTTGAGAGAAGTTTGTCCTAAACTGGAAAACTGTCTTTATGGGACGTACAGAGGACCAAGTGATTGCTGTGAACGTTGCTCAAGTGCGTTGTACTTTTTTTCTATAAATAGATCTCCGCGAAAACTTATCAGCAAACATCGCACTCGGAAATAGGCCCCCCATGACGTCACTTGCTCTCTATAACGGTCTCGTGAACTGAGCGCTTATCTAGTCACACCCACGAAGCGAGCCAATCGACTGATTGAATCAATTGCTGAACATATATTTAACCCACTTGCCCAATTTGCCGCCAACGCACTCGTTGACCCTCTTCTTTCCTTCTTAACGCCCACGCGTTTATTTTTCAGAGCATTGTCCAGTAAAATCGGGTTTCGCCCATCGTTTCGAAGGAGAAACTTGGACAACCATTAGATCAAACGTTTGCGAAAAATGGGAATGCAGTAACGGCATGAGAATAAGTAGGACTAAGAGAGAACATTGTCCTGTAAAGTTGAAGTGTTCCAATCCTGTATGGGTTCCAAATTCTTGTTGTAGACGATATTGCAAAAAAGATGCCTGTAAAGCGGCTGGATGTTCGAGAAACGCTGTTTGTCACATACATTTGGGTGAGGCTCAGTGCAAGTGCAAAAAAGGCTATAGAGGAGACGGTCGACGATGCATTGATATAAACGAATGTGAAACATACGAAAAATGTCCCTATCCTCATTCCTGCTTAAACATACCAGGTTCCTACCAATGTAATTGTGCAACTGGATACGACAATCGTCACGGGCAGTGTGTTGATATAAGATCGTGCAAAGAAGATTCTCAGTGCAACTCGAACGCCAAATGTATTAACAAAGTTTGCGAATGCTTACCTGGCTATGACGGCGACGGTAGAATGTGTCGACGTAAGCGAATACTTAAACCTATATTTACCGTCTATAAATAGTGTTGTTTTAATTTTAGCAATATGTACAGAAGACTGTCGAAACGGAGGTTTATGTGTTGGGTGGAATACTTGTAAGTGTAAAAAAGGATTTAACGGAAGGTTGTGTGGAAAAGGTATAGTTCTTTTTACCATTTCAGTAAAATTTTAAATGTAAACAAAAAAAACTTTGGTAGATATTGACGAATGTTTACAAAGAAGTTCGATTTGCGGAAAAAATTCATTGTGCAAGAACACATTTGGTTCTTATGAATGCAACTGTAAAATAGGTTTTGAAAGACAAAAGTCGAACAAAGAATGCGTAGACATAGATGAATGTAAAACTAAATCACCTTGTCCTTTTGGAACTCGGTGCGTGAATAGAGAGGGAAGTTTTGAATGTAAAGCAGAAGGTTCAAACTTCAAAGGATGCATGGATGAAGGATTGTATCACAATCATACAGATAAATGGAAAAGAGAAGAGTCTTGTAGAACGATGACTTGCATTGTAAGTCCATTCTAATAAATCAAACGATCTTTCTAAATATAATATTTTTGTTTATTTCTATCTTTAGAATGGGACAATACAAAGTCGTTATGATGAATGCCAATGTGGCAAAGATACGAGAAATTGTTGTAAAAGTCAATGCAGTCGCAAGGAAAAGATATGTTTAGATGAGCATGGAATAAGAAGGCCAAGTCGACTTGAATGGAAAAACAATTGTAAAATTTGTCAATGTTTCGTAAGTTTCCTCCATTTTTTAATATATCAAAACAACTCTACAGTATTTTGATAGATATTTTTATTTAAGTACGCTTAATTAAGTTTAATTAATTAATTAATGGCTAAATATTTTGTTTAGAATGGTTTCGTCGACTGCTCTCCTGTGGTTTGTCCAAAATTGAATTGTTCAAAAGACAAACAAATATATCGGCCTGATACTTGTTGTCCAATTTGCGTATCAACAAATTTCAACCATAGAAATTGTATACACGATAATTTGATAAGAAGACACTCTCTGCAATGGAGGTCAGATGACTGTACAGTTTGTTCTTGTAATGTAAGTCTTTCTATTTAAAACTTTAAAGACCTAAATATATACAACATATACTTATTATCTAATAATAACATTGTCAAACATCAGTCATATGAGCGCCATCTACCGTGTAAATACTAAAGAGAAAAAACCGGTAGATGGAAACTTTTTAAAGACATTAATCGTATTTCCTTATTCAATAATTACAATTGAATAATATAATTTTTATTTACAGAACGGGTCAGTATTCTGCAAAGAAAACTGCATCAAATAGTGAATTTATCTCCAACTCTCTGCTATGTTGAAACGAAGGACAAGTCAATTTCTGTTCCAAGTTTACGGTTTCTTTTTCGTTATAGTCAAAACTAACCTTTTTTTGAATAGTGTAGACGCGATATCGAATCTCTGTTTTGATGGTCGAGAATTTTCTATATGCCTTTTGGCAAAAACGTTACATTTTTAATGTATTTATTTGTAAATAAAATCTTTACGAATAATGAGCTCATTCACTTTATCCGATAATTTTTAATATCTTTTTCTTGCTTCGGCTTATCCGCAATTGATAGTATATGTGTAAATATTAAAATCTAGAATGAATAATTTAATAGACTAGTTACTGTACGGTCTATTTGATTTAATCGAAAAAGTATTTTTGAAGTAAAATCGGTATTGTTAGTCAAAGAAAAATCGATAGAAGTCGATACTGGAGCGTAAAGGTTCAGCCTAAAAAGGATTGGTGTTAAAATCTTAGGATTAATAATCATGAGCTAACATATTTTTTTTGCCAGTTTAACTTAATCCTTTGTGGACAATCAACATATCTTTTCACAATAATTAGCGATGAGATCAAAGAATTTAATAACCAGATAATATTAAATCTGGATTAAACTGTTAAATACCGACGGAAGAGGACAATAAATGAATGTTTATTTTGTCATCATTAAAAATTAAGAATTAGATTACTATAAAAAAGAATACTGCTCCTTTAAGAATTAATAAGAAGGAGGTACAATAGAAAAAATTTGAAAAACAAGAAGAAGAAGAAGAAGAGGAAAAAGAAGTAACAAAAACAGCGGATAATTCTCTTATTCAAGAGAATTGAATATTGTATATTTGTTAATATAAATTTCATATTTTTTTCTCCTGGTACATTTGATAAGCAGAGTTTTATTTATGAACTTTTTAATTAGTTTTTGTTTTTTTGAAGAAAAAAAATATCCTGATATAATATGTTTGGCGAAAGATTGATAACTGAAATAGCGACAGCATAGAATAGAAAATTAATGTACTAATATTATTTATAAAACAGTGTTGAAATGACGTTATTTTCCTTCCTAACAATTGTCGACGTTAAGAATAAGAGGGCAGATATCTGAAATGAAAGCGATACATATAGTTTTGTAATTGGTTAATGAAAACGTAATTAAATAACTAATTAATATTGTAATTAAATTTTACTTACATTGACTATGTCGTATACCCATAGAAAAGGCTGGGGCTGCTCGTTTATGAGCCCATACCTGAAAAGTCGTCCATAATCAATAATTATACAATATTCAAAGCCTTATGGGGCATAGAATTTATCGCCTCTTTTCATAGTTGTTAAACAGAAAATAGTGGCGAATGGTGAATTACTTATACTCACCCTCTCCGATTGATGAGCACCGGGACCAGGTTTCCTTGTGGCATCCGATGGCATCATGTTCCTTGAAGTGAGGCTGTAGGTGGGTCCTTTCAATTTATAAATATCGGGATTAGCTGTTCCGTAGGCGCCAGGACCAGGAGTTCTAGAAAGGTCTTCGTGGAAGCCACCTGGAGATTGAGAGATAAATTATTAAAAACTTTTTTTGTTACTACATTATTAATTTTACACTCACCTCTTTTACTACGTCCAGTCATACTATAAATAGGGGCCTGACGTTTTCCACTTTGTATAGTTCTACCCATTTGAGCCGGTAGACTATAGTTGTTAGGGGCTGGTGTATTATCAGTTCTTCTATGAAGATGTCTTAAACCAAACGTGTATGCTGGGGGCATTTTTTTGGCACTTGGTCCGGTTCTTTCTGGTGAATAAGTTCCAGGACCGGGAGTCTTAAAGGCTGCCGAGTCCCTTGGTCTACTATAGAGCGAGTAATGAGGAGATCCGTCCATGCCGTCCCTATTATCAAAGTAATGACATTCGCATAAGAAAAATAGAACAATAAATAGTTAAATAGTCACTTGTATATTTTCGGGTCAGGAAAATAAGCTGGACCAGGTCCCGCATCATCTCTCCATTTACCGTGACGGATTCCAAAAGAATGGGCTGGTCCCTTTGAATGGACACTACGAGGATCATGGTCATATGCTCCGACAAGACTCCTCAAGCCATAACAAGGTCCAGGACTGCTGTACATAGCAGCTATGGGACCTCGGGGTTTCGTGTATACGTAGACCATTTCTTTTCTGAAAGAATCTCAATTTAAATAAACGCCTAAGATGAAGCTAAAGACTTGTTAAAGCCGTCGTGAGGCAACCACGAAACACTTCAAGTGAGACACCTGGCGGCCGCTAAGCAAAAAACATTTTAATTTAAACTAAAAAAAGTTACTAGAACTTATGAAAAATATATCATTTCTCGTTGCTGTTGTCTAGTAAACAAGTTGTGCCTTTCAATTAGCGCGTCTAATCGGCTGAAAGGGATAATCTTGGACTGTAACAGCCTTTTTAAATGGATTAAGTAATGAGGCCTATACTTTTCTAAAATTATCTACTTTTGGATTTTACTCTTTAAAGAATTTCGATAAGAGATAATATGTTATTGATTTACTACTTTATGATTTATTTTACGCAATATTACAACAATTTCTTTATCGCTGACTATATTTTTTACAGTTAAAACTAGTTTATGAAGTACCACTTGTCTAGACGGAAAATACTGAGAACCCAATATTGTTATCAAACAAAATACAATTTTTATGTGTTGTTTAATAAAAGACTACTTAAAACCGTAGTTTTCGAATTCACACCCAGTCGTCAGTTGAGAAAGCTATTAGGTATCTACTGAAGATTCATGCAAACACAGTCAGACAGATACCAAGTAACACTTTGTTAGTGTTAAAAATTTATTTACAAATTCAACAATCTTAAGTGGTTTTAAGTGAATTTTAAAAAAAAATACTTACCTTTATGTTCACTTTACTTAAATTCAAGTTGTTGTCTGCTTTGTAGGGTGGATAAACAAGCCCTTAGCGACCGTTCAGACCAAGGCGCCCTCTTAATTTTCTTGATCTTATTTGAATTGATTTCGCGCGTCATCTATACAAATAACCAAATTAACATTTACACTTAGGATTAAATATATTATTTCTCTTGTTAATAATCAGAAGATCACACGTTTTACATATTCATTAATTCCCAGTGTTATTTTCATTCCATAAGTGAATTTTATTAAAATATAATAGTGAATATGTAAATATGCGTAGAGTCTCCCTCTTTGGGGATTATGGAGCCTTATCTCCTTAAACGGCGATAAAACATTTTGGGTTATATATGCCTAGTGAGGTAAGATCAATGATCACAGGGATATATTGATTGAAGAATTGATCGTCATATTAAAACGTGGTATAGCAACCATTGAATAATTTTTCGTGGATTAGCCTATAGTCTATTATACTGACCTATTATGTAAAAATAGTTTCAGTCAAAGAAAAAAGACTTTTATAGTACAAAATATGGATGTAATAGTCCGTTATTCTTAACAACTTTATACTGTTAGTTTGTTAGTTATGGCTGAATATGAAGATTCACTTCATATTGGTGATTACGTTTGTTTATTTTCGTCTGAAAACTCTGGATTTGTCTTCTCTGAACTTTCTGGGTAATTTTATTCGTATGATTAATATTTCTTTTGTCAATTCATTAAAAAAATAATTGTTCCATTAGATCTCAATACAATGGCTTACTTGTGTTTAATAATCAAGATGTTTTATGCCCAAAGGATATCCCTGATTCGCAAAGTTCTTAATCCAGTTTCATTTTGATATATAGCCTGATTAGTTAAGTTTTTAATTTTTTGAACAGTGATTACATTTGAAATTTGCCCTCAAAATCGATACAAGTTGAATAAAAAGTATAGACTTTTAAAGGAAAGCTATGGTAAAGCTCTGATGACCGGTGAAGAATCTGAAGCCCTTAAAGATGCAAAGGTATTCGAAAGATGTGCTTTTTCTTTAGCTTTTTAAATTAAATAGCCATTCTAACAGCGATCGGCTGAAACTGAAAATGAAGATAATGTAGCCGAAGAAAGGAGACTGAGGGGAAAACTTATACGCTACGGGGAATGTATTCAATTACGACACTTGTTTACGAATAAATTCATTCAAGTTGACACGTCAACAACCAGCCTAAGAGATAAGAATAAACTAAAAGTTCGATTTGCTCCCTAATCCCTGTGTTTATAGTTAATCTTCTTTAACATTTAAACTAGGTAAAAATGGAGATTCACAATGGTAAAACTGCTCAATTTCGTATCATGCCCCGTTATAGAATAAAAGCGGAAGGGGATATTGTTCGAAGTGGGGATGAGGTGGTATTCGAAAGCGAAAAATTGAATGGGCAATACCTTCATGTAAGCGATAGATGTGATATTTATTCCTTTGTCGATTGTACTTGGTAAGCTACCTCTCTGAATAATTTAATTTAATAATCCATGATAAAAACATCTCGTTAAATATTTTATTTCAAACTTGCATAGGTCGGAATTAAATCTTGCGCTAGAAAGTTCTGATTTTGCAATTATTCGAAAGACTTTTAGAAACTCAGAAACGGATGGAGCTTTAATAGTTTGTATTCAAAGGTCAGCTTTTAAATTAATCAAACAATCAATGATTTTGACAGGGAGGATCTATTATTCAATTTCGTCACAAGTATCTACAGGCAAATTTAATTGCCGAAGGTATTTTTGGGGAACCTCAATTCGAAGATGGTAATTATCATTTTCACGATAAAGTTATCGACTGTAAACGATGCGATTTTTCCAGTTCACCTCAGAGTTCGAGAATGTGATATGTTTGATTCTAAGAGCCTCTATCAATCAACTCGTTGCTTCTCTTATTGGCAAATTGAACAAGCTACTAGCGTTTTGCACGGTAAAGACTTGACGAGACGCGCGGCGTTTGTCCTTTAATAAAAGCTATAGTAAATGGGGCCTTTTTTTCTTAAATTCATAGGTGATTTACTGGTTTGGGGACAACCTATTCGAATTCGACATATGAGTTCAAGGCTTTATCTCTGTATATCAAACAACGTTGTAGTATTAACTGACAATGGCACAGATCCTTCTACGGTTTTCAGTTTACATCCAGTCGTAAAACAATCAGGAATAGTGCAAGATTGGTCTGATGCTCGTATTCAGCACATGGCTACAAATTTATGGATATGCTCAGAAGGCTGTGAGTTATTTTTCGTACATTGTTGAATAGAGTAGAATAGTTAAAATTTACTATTTCCTCTTCTTTTTATAGTAATTGTATATAAAAGGAAGAAAAATTCTTGGGATAAGGGGAATTTGAAACAAATATCTGCCAAATCAAAAATAAAATATTCCGATGCCTTTACTATGATTTTAGTAGATCCAGCTAACGTTGCCGATTATAATTATATTATTGGTCTTATTCCTTGTCTTAGAAATATTATCGTTCAAAGGCAGCAAAATGTTCAATTGAATTATACAGAATTTCAGAAGATACTATTAGTAATATTATGTCTTTTTTCTCTTAAATATTCTAATAACGTTAAACTGTTGGTTTAGACTTTGGAAGAATTGAATGCATTTGTTGAGAAATGCTCAACGCCTTATCATCGAAAAGCACAAAAACTATTGAGGGAATCGACTGTAAGAAAATATATTATTATTTAGCGTTTCTATCTCTATTCTCAAAATAACCAATTAGTTATTAAGATGGGAAAAGAGATATTTTAGATGATAATTGCGTTATTCAATAATTTCTACAAGAAAATTCTATTATATCCCAATATTTTCTCATAAAATATAAATCCTTTTAACTTCAGTACGACTTGAAGATTTATTAAAATATCCTCGAATATAATCTATTAATTTTATCTGTAGATGGAAACTGTTGCATCTCCTCTATTTACCAATTTATGTGACGCCCATTTTGCTTATTATTGTAGGCGTCTAGTATATTTTGATTTTAGTTTTATAGAAAAGTTATCTCTTTGTTAGATATCTTAATGTTTACTTTTTTTCTCATATTTTAGAATATTTAAATTATATTATCTTTCCCTTTAAAGGTTTATGGGATTAATTTGAGGTGTAAATAGTATTACGAAATGTACTTTTCTTGTAAACTCTGATATATGATCCAATTCTGTAAGACCATATTGATTTTGTAGTTTGCTGTTTCAAAAGCTATTTAACAAAAACAACTATCTGACAAATTGTATAAAAAAGCCTATTCTGTTTGCGGAAAGTTACATTTTTGTTTATTTTTAAACTCCCAAAGATTTTAGATCTTCTCTTGAAATTATTGGAAACCAATCAGAAAGAAGACTTTATGATGCAAATATATCGTGTAATCTATAAAGTCATTTTGACGAGTATTAAAGATATGAATGTAGAAAGTTGCTTGCATATATCAAACTATTTCGATTTTCTCTTATCCCGGTTAGCGGAGGAGGTATTTAATATTTATTTTCGACTATTTTTTTAATTATATTGTCTTAATCATTATCCTTTTATTGAAATAATAGGACTATTTATACTCAGATGTAGCAAAAGTTGTGATAGAAATGATAAAAGATAAAAAATCAGTTATCGAAAAAATTACAAATAAGCAAATAATAAGCTTTATTAAATTGTTGAAATCTACAAAGGTACTTGACTAATTTTTTAATTTGCATTAAATGAGATAATTTGATATTTTTCTCCGTTTGTTATGGTTTTTTTTCTAGGATCCATTATATCTACAGCTATTACATGTATTATGTGTTTGTAAAGGTGCCGCTATTACCCAAAAACAAACGCTAATTTGTCAAAAAATATTAAAAGTTAAAAATGTGTTTTTTGAATATTTTGTTTCGGATGGTAAAATTCTTATCAAAAGGAAAAGATCAACTGAATTGTTATCAAATTTTAGTCTACGTTTGGACGACTATAACTACATTTGTAACCAATTAAAATTGTTTGAAGCATTTTGCATGAACAGAAACCATACTTGCATTGATCTACTAATAGAAAAGGGTTTCATTAATTGGGATGTTTATTTTCTTATTATTAAAGATGAGTCGATAGATCCTTTAATACGTTCACTATTTTGCTCACTTGTTACAAGTAAGATATTGATAACTGTTAACAATGAATTAAACTTTACTAAATTCATTAATTTAATTCAGACGCTTATATTGAAGTGGGTAGTAATACGTCTCTTATCGATTGCATAAGTAACGTTTTTTCCAACGAATCTTTGAAAGAAGATCTACCAAATGCAGATGAAATAGCACTTCAAAGCTCTAAATATGTATGTAAACTTTTCTTTCCTACTTGCAAACACTTAAAGCAATAACGAAAACTAAAAAAAAATATAAAAATACCCATCTAAAACAGTTAGACAAGACTAAATTGGCGACTTTAGGCCACTTGAAAGAGTTTATACAGGAGTACTCAAAAAACTTCAAGCTAGTTGCTAAAACTCACGTTCGAGAAAACTATTTTGCTGTAAAAGTAAATTCTTTGATATATAATATTTTATATAAAAACATAGTGATCTTATTTGTCTTTCAAGCTATTTCAGTTGAGTCATTGTCTCATGAAATACGGTTACTACACTAACGCAGAAATAAAACAACTATTAACTTCTGAGGGTAGAATAATAGGTGTTGAAGAGGATCAATCGACATTTCAAACGGTTTTTAATATAAAGAAGATGAAAAAACAAGTTTCTTTCAGACCAAAACTTGAAAAAAACCTAGAAGTTATCACGGATATTTACTGTCAGTAAGTAATCTAAGGAGAGAAAAAGCCCATAAGCTTTTGTTATGTGATATACTCAATCTATAGTATATTTTAAAAAAATAATATACTTCATACTAGAATTATGGATACCATAGCAATGATAATGGAGTTGGAGGAAAAGAAAACCTTAAAGGTTAAAATTTACATCAACAAAAATACGTTACAATTTTAAAATTTAGAATTAAATTAATTAGAAATTTGTCCATTTCTTCAAACAAATCGAGAGTGGAGAAGTCCAATCAAGTTTAAGTGCTTTACTTGGTGAAGATTTTGAGAAGATCATTAAAGAGTAAATTAACATACTAGGTTTAATAATTGATAAAATTCTATCTATCATTCTTATTGTTAATTTAGAGATGATAGCAAAAGAATAAGATATACAAAGTTGTTAATGAAAGAAATTGGGAAAATGTTTGACTACACGTCGATTCCATTCTATGCTAAATTACCGAAAGAGATGGTAAATATTTCCAAGATTGGAGAACCGGAAATGATCAATAAGGCTTTTCTTACCATAAGAAATTATTACGAATTTCCGCTTCATTTATTCAGGGATGGTATCGAAAGTCAGGTATATATTATTAAAAAAATCTCAGTGAAATGTATATTTTTGTTGATATTTTTAAACAACAACAGATTTTAATAACAAAAGAAACCAAAGAGATTAATAATGAATTGCAGGAGCATGTTCCCATCTTACGTAGATTAGTACGCTTACAAGTTTACGTTGAACATATTGATGATATTTGCTCGGTATTGAGAAAATTCGCAAAGTGAATTTATTGTTTTTAAATATTGTTAATGTTTAATATATACACACATATATATGTATATATATATTTATCACAGAGATTATTTAGAGCCTTGTGACACAACCATTTCCAATCCAGTAGCGCAAGGCATGCTAATCAATCACGGAGTTGTTTCGCTACTTATGGAATTGCTTCGTAAAATTCAAAGGAGTGAGACTATGGTATAAGATTGAAAATTCATGACTAAATGAGGTTATTTTTATTGCATTTGTTTGTATTTATGTAAACAGTTTGGCCCAAAGTTAGTCACAGTCATTACTTGTATTATGGAATTATTAATCAAATTAACTATTGAAAATGAACGATGTCAGGAATTATTATTTAATCATCTAGATCTTTTGCTGATCATTCGTCAAAAGCCTGAATTATTAGCAAGTTTATTGTTTCACGTATGTTACATTCATTTTTTGAATTGAAATCAAACTGAGCTAACACTTGTCAATAATTTCTAGATTTTCTACCAGAACTATAGACTTTGTTGGAGAATAAGTACTAATTCCATAAATAAACTGGTTGAAATTTTATCGAAATATGGAGAAAAATATCCTCTCTTTGCAAAAATTCTCTCCATTCTTGTATCCGTAGATGGCGTTAGCATAGATGAACATATAATTCGGAAAAATCAAATACTGATTATGAAATATGTAATGCAATTTTTCCCCATCGGTTTTCGTGCACTTGAATTACAGGCACACGACAGAAGAAAAATTCTCTTAAGAGAAGAAGGAGCCCAAAGTTTAGAGTATCTTTTAAACTTGATACAACTCTTGGCTTTTTGCGCCAAGGTTTTTATCATTAAGTATATTTGTATCCAAGCTAGAGTCATCATTGTTTTGCCCAGGGACGAATTAACCTCACACTGTTTTTTCTTTTTTCTACTCAGGGTGACGAAAAGTACATTAAGTCTTTCTGCGAGAATGTCTTACCCTTGGAGGAGATACTCACTATTTTAAACAACTACGATATACAAATTTCAATAAAGAAACCCTTTATTGATTTTCTGACGTGGGTTTATATTGTACCCTCCGTAAACGAAAAGCAACTGTTCGAAACGGTTATAGCTCATAACAAGTAAGTAAATCTCTTTAGTTAAACAATTTATCCAGCGCATAAAAAACGGTTGGAAGAGTATTATTAGAGATTTTCCATTTAAAAAAAAAAAAGATGTCTTTCTATATTTTATTTTATTCATAAACGATCTCTACAAGAAAAAAAAAACAAAGAACTTGACAGCAACTACAAAATGAGGAACAGTCTGTTTTTTTTAATTATTACACTTTATAAACGAATAACATAAGTTTACACTTTGTAAGCTTGATATACACAGTACTTTAGTTAATATTTATAGTTTTACAATAATTAATTTGTATACTTCTGAAACCTTTTGCGTAGTATTATGCTTTATATATAAGTTATAATATTTGAAAGGTATACAATGTACAATATTACAAGCGAAAATTAAAGCAGTACACAGATCAGAGTAACTCGAGCAAAGAGTCGAACTGGAAAAATCTGGTTTAAAGCAGTCAGTTTATATAGGTCATGTATGGGTATTATCTCCAACGCTCATTAATCATTAATTAGTCAACTAGTTTAGTAAGAGTCATCATAGATATTCATTAACAATTAATTAATCAATTAATGGGGAAATAATATGTCATAAACTACTGACATCCTTGACGCAAGAGGATTTGAAATTAGACCACTCAAATCCTGAAATAATTCATATATGTAAAAAAAGAAGAGAAATATCTCAAACTGAAGCCTTTATGAACTATTTCAGGGATGAGTAATCGTTATTCAGAGTGAAAAGCTGTGCTCAAATTATCCCATCTTAAGAACTGAGCAATGTGTACAATATGGATATACATGAATAACGTACATAAATGTATATACTTTCGCTTTCGTTTTGCTACGCAAATCAAACTAATCAAATTGTTAGTAAATGAACAAATAACAAATTAGTTACAACTCTCCACAATAGTTTCCTCTTTCGAGCAGGCATTCTCATTACCTCTTAAAGCGCCAACGACGGATCGTTTATGGAGAGTACAAGGTGTCCAACCTCCTTTCTTATCATAAAAACATTTAGCTTTCGGCTCCTTACGACGTTTACACGGCTTAATAAATTTTATGTAAAATGGACAATCTTTCGACGATTCTTTCTCATTCAGAATTTCAGAACGAGTAAAGCGTCCATCCTTTTTACATTCCAAACGTTTAACGGCTTTAGAGATCTTAGTTGCGTTATATTTGCACACTGTAAGTATCTTCTTGGGAATGCAAGGCTTTTTCTCAACAATTTCCTTTCGACATTTTGAATCCGAAATACGTTTTGTGGATTTTAGCTGTCGGACTCTCTCCTTGGTAAATGTTCTTAAATCGCAATCACTCCATTTGCTCTTTTGATATTTACAAGGAGGACCACCATGAGCAGGACAAAGCTTACTTTCTTTTCTTATTTTATCGCATTCAGGTTTGCCTTTAATTAAGGTTTTAGTTATGTTGTAGAATTTAGACATATCCGTGCAGTTGTTCTTCGTGATAGAATAATAGCAAGCTGTACGATTAAAGAAAGAAAAATATTTTCAATAAAATTATCATTGGCTATACAAATATCTGCAAAACATTTTTTATCAAGGCCGGATTTCACATAAAGCAAATATAATGGATTTATTCCCTATTTGTCATAAATTAATCAGTGACATTTGCTACTGACCTTTTTTGTTCCTCCCTCTTTGTTTACCTTTACAAGAAACAAGTTTACTAATCATTGGTATACAAGTCGTTGAATTATGTTTCACTAATTCGTATTCCTGTTCTTCCAAGCAGCTGGAAGCTCTTTTCGTCACGTACTTGCAACCTACAAATAGAATTATAAGGCACGATAGGAGGGGAATATCGAATTACCTTCAAGAGTCAAACTCTGTTTTTTATTGTTCTTATTTTTTTTCCTGCAAGAAATTTTACACACTCTCTTCCTTTCTTTTGGAGCCTCCGAACACTTTGCCGTAGCGGCTAATTTTCGTTCTTGCAACTGAAATCCTTTACCACAACTTTTCCCTTTTTGTAGATTGCATTCACCTTTGTTCTGCCATTTTCCGCATCTAGCTGCAGAAATTAGGAACACTTTGTTAATCATCTTTCAAACAAAGTGCCTAATGTTTTATTCGTTTGCGAGTTCTAGGTAAACTATACAAACCTTTATGAGTTTTTGCCGACGTGACATAGAGAATTGTCAGCAAGGAAAAGATTAATAGAACTTTCGCCTGCATTTCCTTTATCACCGACGCTATCGAGCAGAGGCAAACTAGACAAGGGATAGGCAGACAGGAGAGTAAGAGTGGTGCAAAGCGAAGTTTTCCGCTAGAGGGCGCTCTGGCGAGTTTTGTCGATAATTATATCATTATGCAGAATTTAATTTGTGCCTTTGTTTAGGTAAAGGGCGAAAAATGGATTGTTTAGGAAGTAGAAAAGTGTCATTAAAACGTGTTTGAACCAGGAGCATTCAATACAAACAGTAACATAATTGTTAGTCAGAAGAAATATATCGAATTTCGCGTGCCCTATTGCACTTAAGCTTTTCGTATGAATAATAGCAAGAGATTTGCGATGAACGTATAGTTCCCTCTGTAATTGCCTCCTTATACGATCGATTACTTTTCGGGTATAAACCTTGCAATAAATGATCACTAATTCCATAGGCTTATTTGGAAGTTTGTACAAGATTTAGGGGACGAAGCTGTAAGCCTAGAAAAGGCTTTAGCAGAGAAAAGTATAGAAGAAATCTCGTCTTTGTCTTACAGACTAGATGAAAGGTCAGATGTTACCTTATCATATATTTCTATCTAAAAAGAAAAAAACATTAAAAAGCATTAAAAACTTCAGAAATATCTTTTTTTTTTGTTCTTTACATTCACAGTAATTCTATTTTTTATAATTATTAAATTTGATGCTAAAATAGCGCTTTAATAAAAAATTTGATGTCTATTAGTTAGTTTGTTTATATAGAAATATTTTGGCATTAGGAAGTAACTATTTGTAAAGAACATAAAAAATATATATTCTGAGTTTACATGCCGTATTAAGAAATAAACAGATGAATAAACAAGGGATACAATAAACAGTGACAGGAAGGATTCGAGCGGGCTACAAGAGAAAGTTATGTATTTCATAGAAACGATATTGCCGTTTTTGCAAACCTTCCTACATAGATATCATAAAGATAGGATTCACTATGACGATGAACATAACGTTATTAGGAAAGCTGTTCCAAATATTTTAGTAAGTAAACATTTGCAAAAAAGATAATTGACGGTTACTTGCCTTGTGCCAAAGTGTAGTGTCATCGAGAGAGTTTTCTCGCTTGATAAAGCGTGTTTGTCATTTCTTTATTTACATTAGATTCTTGTGCCCTTGGTTGCAAATGCTCAACTTGGAATGTCTGTAAAAAAACTACAAAATTTATCTAAAGCTATCATGCTTAAAGTTGGATATGATGAACAGGTAAGCCTACTTTCACTATTGAGATTATTCTATTTATAGTCACTGCTAATCTTAATTACTAATAAAAGCAAATTGAGGCTGTAAAAGCGAGGATTACTAAAGCAAAAAGTCCCCCCATGATCAGACGAGTATATGATTCTTTGTTATGACTGATATGCATATTAATTTCTAACTCTCACGGTATACCTCTAGATGAACACAGAAACTTTATTAGCTCACACAAGAGAAATATCGCTCAACAAACAGCTACAAATTTTTTCATCAAACTGTAGATTGCTGTTGGAGAAACCAAATACTTGCCAAGCTCAAATAGGACCTGTAAAAGATAAATTACGGAACAAAGCGTATATCCCAGATAGTGCCCCGTGGTCATTACCTCTCTTCGAAGGATTTCAATTGCAAGTTACAGTATTTATAGATCGGAAAGAAACGAAAACTAATTTAAAATACAACGATTGCTTATTGGTTATATGTTATCTAAAGTTTGTAAACCCTAATTAAGAAGTACGTTTAATACATTTGGCATTTTGCCTGATTAGGCATTCGGCTCAAGTCGCTAAGGAGCAAAAGAACGAATTGGTAAATGATGACTTGATTATTCACTGCCTTCAAATTCTTCGAGCGTCTTTGCACAATAAGATAGTATTAATGCCTGATAGTCAAAGAGATCGCCTGCTAGCCACTTACAAAGTGTAAGTAAAGTAGACGCAAATGTGTTACAGTGACTTCTTTATTAAATCCCTATCTCTCTCTCTCTCCCATCCCTATCTAAAGATAATTTTTTTTTATTTATTCTAGCATGCTACAAAAGCTACGTGAATTACAAGACTTTTATATCGAGAACGATCTTATTCAGGTTTTAATGACGCTAATGCACTGTCGTAAAAAGAGTATCATACGTGAAATTGTTGCTTTGATGTCGTTCATATGCTATAATGCCAATGCTAAAGCGCAAGATGCAGCCTTAACTTTCTTCCAAGGCACTAAGGATGAAGTCTTCTTCTCTGTCATCAGAGAGCTGTTTACTGAAGAGTCAGAACTAATGAAAGAACGGTTATTTATTTTTATACAATAGCTATTTAGAGATAGAGTATGATTATTGTTTATGTATCATTGTCGTTATTAGACGCCTCTTGCAAAGGAAGAAAAAAATTTCAGAAAATCCCTTAAATCTAATGACGGCTTTAGACGTTGAAAGGCAACGTTCCGCTTCTGAAGCACAACCATTTACCACTCGCATAAAGTCACAGTTGAATAAGTTAAAAAGGGTTGGACCCCTACCCCAATCAACAAATGAGGAAATTGAAGAGGGAACGGTATATTTTTCCATCTATTAGAAATCTATTTAATAAAAAGAAAATAAAAACACTCTAGACTCCCTTAAATAATAACATATCCGTTTGGAACGTTACAGCGATGGCAGGAATCATTAAAAATGCAAAAGGAATACACGCAAGATACCCGTTCTATTATTCTTCTTCTGCAAGTATTAGCCAGTTTTTGCGATGGACAACATGAAGGAATGCAAAATTACATGCGTCATCAGCAAGATAACGTTCGATCATTTAATATCGTATCTGATACATGCCACTTTTTCGCTACAATTTATACCCATTTAAATGGCTCTAATCTGGACTTAGCTCTACAATTATGTTCGACACTTAATGAAATGACCGCCGTAAGTTTAAATATCAAATACGCAATAAGAAATATAATAATACATTCATTAAGTACAAACATACACAATAGTTTTTGCTAATGAATTTATTGGAAAAATCATGAAAACTATAGGCTTTCCAAAAAATCAGGGTAACAACGAGAATCGAATTGTGCTACTGGACAACAAGGCTATTGAATATCTAAATTACATCTTACGGTTAGGAATCGTTGACGACTCAACAATCGCTCAATCGCTGGAACTGCAGAAAGCTGTCGCAGATCTTTTAATTTCAATGACAGAAGAAAATTCAGAAATTCATAGCGTTGCTAAGGTTTTTTATTGTTATTTAACCCTTAAATATAACTATTACATTAAAAAGTGTTGGATTTAATACAGGATGTATGCGTTAGTTTGGATCTCGAGGCTGTTATGAAGTTAATATGCCAGTGCTACGACTTGCATAGAGAAAGCTGGTGGTATTTTAATTCTGATAGACAGGGGTATAAAATGAAAAAGGATCTAGCAAAAAACGTTGGTTTCCATTACTATTTTGTCTATGCTCGGATGATGGACGTAGATCCGGATAGAATAAATCGTTCGTTCTACCTAATTTAGTAATACTATGATTATATAATGTCTTTCGATTTTTTTTCTAGGCATTCAATCAAAGTGCCCGGAGAATGAGATAAGAGCATTGAAATATTTTCGTAAGAACACTCGTTCAATTGAAATTATAAAGGATGATTTACTACAAAAAGTCTACTTCCGGAAACCGGCAGAAGTTGGTTTAAAGTATTCTTTTCATAGGTTAACATTAAATCGTTTTTATCCTCTTATACAAGGATTTTATTCGAGAAGATATAAAAGAGCAGTTAAAATGGAATATCGACAGATCTTCACCCGGTAATAAGATAAGGGATTTCATGAGATGGTCAACTATTATAATAAATGATATTAATTATCGTAAACGGATTCTCTCCTCAGCCTTTACAAAATTTATTGTGGGCAAATCGTAATTATTAATTATTTAGATAGCATTTTCCATATAAGATGCGATTTAAATTATAGTTTTTAATTCTGCAGACGATGGTGGAATTACATAGTATTCTTTTTAAGTTTGGCTATAAATATTTTGATGCTTATATTTTGGAGGGCAAGTGGTTCTGCTGAAAACATTCCGTCGGGAGCCACAGCTATACCTAGTGTCGTTTACGAGTGAGTTATCGGATTTTAATTGTATAAAAGATTACTGAAAAAGAATATGTTTGCAGTTCAGAGCCTGTTATTACAATGTCAAAAGACGCTTATTCAATAACATTTTGGACTTTAGCAATTACTCATAATGTTTTTATGATTCTTGTTTTTATTACATACTTTATAAGTAACAATTTAGAATTCCCTACATGTGATACATTTAGTAATCTCGTTAAAAAAAGAGAAAATGTCGATGAAATAGACGATTTAGAAGTTATTGATGGAAAGAAAAGTCAAAAATCTGTGAAAAAATTAATCAGTTTTGAAACTATATACTACGGATTTCTGCTAGTTATGTCAGCTTTCGGAACAATATATTATGGTTATTTCTTCTCAATTCATCTCTTACACGTTGTTACCTTCAGTGAGATGTTAAAGGGAATTATAACTGCAGTGACTCAGAACGGTCGTTCGTTACTTGGTGTAGCTTTGATGGCTTCGATTTTCCTCTATATATACGCTTTAATCGGTTTTGCTTTTTTCCGAAGTTCTTTCGATCCAACAAATGAGCTATATTGTAGAACTTTGTATGAGTGTACTGTCACCCTAATTCGTTATGGTGTTATCGGAGATATCAATGAAAATTTGAAAAGGCACACATTGGAGAATAATTTTGTGAATTTCACTTATTTAACAATCTATCATGTAATATTTTTTATCTTCTTTACAACAATAGGCCTTAATATTGCCTTCGGTATCATTGTCGATACCTTCAGTGAACTTAGGGATTTAAAGTGGAGAGCGGAGAAGGACATGAACGAAGTGTGTTTCATTTGTAATCGAAATAGTTACGAGTTTGAGCATTTTGGTAAAGGTTTTTCTTATCATGTTAAAAATGAACACTATCTTTGGACATATATACAATACTTTATATATTTAGAAGAAACGAAACGCAATGAGTATACCGCTCTTGATCTGCACGTAAAGAAAATGCTCGAAAAACAGAACTATGAATTCTTTCCTCTGAATAGGGCTCTAGTTCTAGTAGGAAATGACAATTCAAACGATAATAATACAGGACTACTTCAAAATGATTTATCCTTCCTGGTACGTCATACTAGAGAGAACATATTAGCTCGTAAATTAGAAAAAGAAGCGAAAAGACAGATGGAATTGAAGGAGGAATTTGAAGAAGCTGCTGCTTTTAGTAGTCTTCCGAACGAAGAAAGTTTAATGTAAAAATATTCATCCCGTTAAGCCATATAAAGACTATTTAAAATAACAAATTTTTAATTAAACTTAAAATGAATAACTCATTCATTTAGTTGCATGTTCTTTTCTGTCATGTATTATTTACATTAAAAAAAAAACGTCCTTTGATTACAGTTTTAAATCGGGAAAAGTAAATAATTTAACCTTCCTTTCAAATAAACAGATTGAGTTCCATTCGGAACCAAAGCGGAATATTAACTATAAAGACTTCAGAGAATGAGTTTAAAAATCTCCATTCATTGTAAAACTTCCATTTATAAATACAGAATTATTCTGATCTCCAGTTGATAAATGCTTATGATATCCTGTTTCAATAGCATAGGCAACACAATTATGAACGAGTGCGTACTGGTCATCAGTTTGAACAAGAAGACATCTGTATTGGCGCATTTCCCACACCATGCCATAAATATCAATTGTTATATTCAACTTTGGATTATCCCTAAGTTGCTGTAAACACCGATCAAGGACTATGAAAGATCCCGTTCTTCCCACACCTGCTGAACAATGAACGCAAACGGGTCCGGATTGGTCTCTACCAACAAAAAACCTACTTGCTTCTTCTCTCACAATTGTAACAAATTTGATTACTTTATCATAATTTGAAGGGGCGGTTTTATCTAGCCAATCGAGATAGTTGAAGTGAGTGATTATTCTCTCCTGGCATCCCAAAGACAAACGAAGACGAGTAACTATATAATTGTCTTCTTGAGAAATTCCGTTTGGCAACACAACAATTTCTAAATCACCACGTGCTACAGGTTCATCATCTTGAGGCATATAATTGTAACATTTTTCCACATTTTTTTCTTTAAATTTTGTCATCATAACTATAACCCGACATTTCTGCTCCCAAATCATTCGCCAGAAGTCGTCAGTCGTTCCGGGTAGAGGCCCCTGAGTTGCTATGTATTCCCTCCTCATAGAATAGCCCGGTACATAATTTGCGTTTATATAATCGGATCCTTCCTCTCCATCAACGGATGAAAGCCTTACGCGAGTGTCGTCATAAGCTAGAACGTTTGTGAAACGATTTTTTGGCCGATTAACAGGTAACTCTGCAGCCTTAATGAAACTTTTTGCGTTCTCTTTTGCAAGTTTAAAATTACCGTAGTCTTCAAAAAATTTTAGGTTACTATCCCTCGAGAATTCATAAACATGATTAACAAAATCTCTTGCCAATATAGGACGACTATAAAAGTAAATAATATAAATTGACATTTACAAAAAAATATATTCTAAAACTTACCTTGTTCTTATCTTTTCTGTCGGTGTTGTCCTAAGTTTCTTAAAGTATATAAATATCATTATTGATATAAAAACTAACAAAATACATATTGTTGTAATAGTTCCAATTAGAATATGTTGTATATTTGGTCCTGCTTCTGTTCCCTTGTCAGATTTATCCTGGCCTGATGCTGTAGTTTTTCCAAGCGTAGTGGTATCTACATTTCTTGTAGATATTATTCCTGGTTGAGCAGTACTTAAATTACTAATTTGGGACGTCGACGGAGACTGTGTAGTCGAGTTTAATTTTGAAATCGATTCCGACGTTGTAGTAGAGTTCAATTGAGTAGTCGGCCTCTTCGCCGTTGTCAGATTTGACTTTGCAGTCGATTGCGTCGTTATTGTCCAATTTGCAGTAGAGTTCAACTGAGCAGTCGGCACCTTCGCCGTTGTCAGATTTAGTTGAGCAGTACTTCTACTACTAATTTGGGACGTCGACGGAGGCTGTGTAGTCAAGTTTAACTTTGTAGTCGACTTTATCACTCCTGTCGAGGTTAACTTTGTCGCTACTTTCGACTCTGCCGTAGTCACCGACTCCGTCGTCTTCTCATTCCAACTCGTAGTATCACCTAGTTCCGGTGTAACTACTGTATTTGAACTACTTTCATATGACTCAGTAGTCGGGGGATTTTGAGTAACTGTTGAAGAGACCTCTCCATAGGAAGTAATTGACTGTGACACTATTGTTTTTATCAGAGTATTAGTACTATTCAGAGTAAGTTTTTCACTCTGTTACCTGTAGTTTTTGAGACAAGAGTAGAAGAATTTGACGCCCCATTAGAACTCGTTATTAGAGATGTAAAATAAACCAACTAGTCATTACATATTTATTGAAAAGCAAAGTTAAAGTAGCTACAGTAGGTAAAGTATTCATACTCACAGTTAACCAAGTCAATTTAAAAAACATTTTCTTAAGAAATTATAGTTAATATTTTAAATTCCATTAGAAATTATTTAAGTGCTAATCTGTTTGAGATACATTTAGTATAAACATACAACGGAGAGAAACACGTAATTCATGTCGTAAACTACATATACTAATAAACTGTATTCCTAATGTTTATATGACACGAGGTGAATTTCAATAGTAAAAGCTTTAGCCTATTCTTTTTGTTAACAGAGTTCTATACTGTTGGCCGATGTTTTTAAGTTGTATGTTTTCTAGTGTATGGTAGAATTTTAAACGCTTCCTTTGTAAAGAAAATTATTCTTCCTAGTTAAATCTAAACGAATTCTACAGAATTGGTTACCGATTGAAAATATTCACTAACTTTATTTATCCCACAGGCAACCTATTTTCATTCATTTTTTTACTGGAACTATTAAATGTCTTATGAAAGTAATAAATCTTGTAAAGTATTCATGTAGTAGCGCATTCATATTTGTACAGATGGGGGTTTATACATTTGCAGTATAAATTTTTAGATGGGCATCAGTATGTATACACATATTTAAATGTATATATATATATATTGTATATATGAGCAAACAGTTATATTTATAATAGGACATAGATAATTAGCGAATCCTATTATAAGCCATTAGCTAAAAGTGATAAATACTGTTTATTACTTACACAAACTAACAAATTAATACTCTTCTAAGACAGAATTTAGCTTTATTTTCAAAATAATATATAATATAACAATTATTATGATATCCAAATGACTTTTGATTTAATATAATATATAATTCAAGATAAAGAATTGACTTGATTTCATTAAAAATAGCACCTTACGAAAATATTTTGCCTAGGCTCTTGGAGCTTTCCCTTTCGAAGGCCCTTTCGTAGGTATCATACACCAGGGCGTCCCTTTAATATCGCAGTGTAATTTAACATTAATCACTGTCGCTTGAGCTTTATCGATATTCAATATTCGTCGTTCTTCGACTTCATAGGAAACATCGTGTAAGCCAGTTATCCTATCACGTCTCCTCGTTTCTATCTTTTGCTCGCCAATTTTTAAACCGTCTCTTGGTCGTTTTATTTTGTCGTGTAAGTGCAAAAACGTATTCTGATCAGTAGTTGTTAAATTATTTGGTCGAAGAATTTGGATATTTTTTTCTCGAAGTCGAACAAATAGTTCGTCATCTTCCTGTCCCCATCCCCAAAATCTGTTCGACATACCATCCACTAGCTCATAAGTTTTCAGCTTCATCAAAAGAATTCCACCAATAAACTTTTTATAATGATAGCGAGGATGATATTGTGGAGAGGCTACGTGGACAACAACGTCGTCCTTGCGGGGATATCCGTAGGGCAAATCTTTGTTTAAAGGAAGTAAATCTACATCATGCATAACTAAATAATCGGCTTTTCCTTCTTTCCTGATTTCGTGCCAGGCTGCGTTTATAAGTGACGCCCGATTAAACCTTAAATTATCAGCTTGATTTATAATGTAAATCGTATGATCTATGTTCTTGTTTCTCAAATATTTATCCATATGCGGCAAAAAAGCCTGTAGTTCGTCAAAAGCTTTCCGAAATGGCACAATAACAGCTAAGTGATGAGAATCAGAGCTGTTCATAAAGCTTTTCGTTTTCATTGACTGTTCTTGACTTTCCAAGGGATATAAAGCCAGATAACATGTCGTTGTTATTATTAAAATTACAAAAAGAAAAAGCAATGTCCGACGTTTGAGTCTCATTGAGCTTCATCAACTGAACAATACATAAAATATCGTACAAAAGATCATTGAGAGCCCCTTTTATACTCACTAGTTTATTGATCTCAACAGATGTCCACTAATATGACTTTTTATCAACAATCTGACTTCTCTTCGTAGCTTCATGTAAAAGTCAATAAATTTACCAATGGAATTATTTCATGGACAGACACTTAATAGAAATCCGATTATTTACATAGCTTGACATATCTTAAGACGATGAAATGAATCGCGCGAAAATAAGCATTGCCTGGTCAGTATTCACATTCTAAATTTAGCTCGCCATTTGTCGCAGCACACCGACTTCCATACAAGTAAAAGTTTACATTCAGACTATGAAGCAACTTTTCGCCTAACTTAATTTAAATCATGGCGGCCGTTAACATTGAAAGCGCCATATTTAAATTAGGAATCTAAAAAATTTCAAACCGCCTTTTGATACCTTTCGTCTTGTTCGTAACGCTTATTTGCTTTGGAAAGTTCGAATTTATTAATATTTTACGTGTGATTTCCTATTTGGAATAAATAGTTGATCAGCGAAAAAGTATAAAACTTTGGCACTTATAATTAACAACTTAATCGACTCATGACCTCCTACATTTTCTCAGTGAATCGATTCCTCAAATTCTCCTTAATCATCGTTCTTTGGTAGTACAGTGTTTTTTAAATCAAAAAATTATAGTATCTTAATTACTATATTATTGTAAAAAGTAATGAATTATTTTTTAAAATTTTAAACGGCAGGTAATTAAGTTTTAACAAAACAATGTAGATGTATTATGATCTTATCTAATCATGTTGGAGAAAAGTATTATAGTAGCTTACATAGTTCAATACGGTCGTATATTTGACTTATTTTTATATGTTTCGATAATATTTTTTATAGTATTTATCAATTGTTTAATATGACGTGTTTTTATCCAATTTCAGATATTGATTTCAAATACTAAACATACATACGAGGAACTATGGACAAGAAACGACCGAGCAGCTTCGTAAGTTTTTTCCGTTATATGCAGTAAATAGTCAGGGAATTTCTCTCCCTCTATAACTGATGATAGCTAACGGATGTAGTATATATTACCTTAGAGGCCTACAATCGGCCACTAAAGACATAATTAATAATTTGGTTTACATTTGCTCTCTGGATCGTTTAGAGTAGCATAAGCTGTACATCATGACAACAAAACGCAAACTGACTAGGCGTTCCTCAGTGTTTTCTTCTGGGTCTATTTTAGGAAGATTAAGTTCTATGTATAGCAATAACAGTCGCAGTAGTAAAAAAAGTTTTGATGATGAGAAAGAGGTTGAAAATGCGACTATAATTATCTTATTTGAGATTTTTAATTTATTATAGTTAAGTGCAAACTAAACTAAAATTTTATTTTACAGCTTCAAATTGGGACAATTGGTAAATCGAAGACCAAGCACAAACAAAGCCATATAAGTACAGAATCTTTGCCTTCCGTTAATCCTGATTGGATAAAAAGTATGGATAAAAAAGAATTGGAAAAGAAATTCAAACAGGCTATGGTAAACTATACGTTATTAAAATATTACCACTATTATGGATAGCTTTTATGATAGTCCATTATTATACATTTTTCTTTGACACTGATAAGCGTAATCATTTATAGGAGAGCATGAACATAAACTACGATGACAAAAAGTTTAAAGAAGAGACAATGAGGCAAATCGTGATTAGTCATTATGCAGTAAGTTTGCAATTAGTAATGATTTTAGAAATAAGGAAATCACTTATTTTTTTATTTTGTCTATTCAGCGACAACAACATCAGGATGTTAGCAGTTTCGTAGAGGAGCTAGAGAATCCTAATCTAGATCTGAAAAGACGGGAAACCTTGCTTAGAGAAACAGCTGTTACTTTACGTAGTAGTCCGTTGGAATCTATCGAAAAGTTTAAAAATCTGGGTGGCTTATCTACAGTTTTAAAACAAATGGAAAATGTTTACTCAAGGAGGTAACGATGTTGTGTCATATAATTCTGATTGTCTAAAATGTAATATTTTTGACTCAGCTTTCAAGATTTTGAAAATTATAAACCTATTCTACTGGAATGCCTAAAAGCTCTGAAATCGTACAGTAATAATAAAGTAAGCATTTGCAAATATTTATCTTATTCTCCATAGTAATAGGATGTATTCTGAACAATCAGATAGGTCTGACTGATGTTTTGAATAATGACGAAGCAATAAACCTCATATGCCGAGCCGTTGATCCTCACGATGCAAATTGTATGCTGGAAGCCGTAAGACTAATATCTGTCTTTTGTATAGTCCCTCCTTCAGGGTAGGTCCCTAAAGAAGCACTTAACAACAAATTTTGACTTCTTTCTTCCCGCAGGCATAGAAAAGTATTGGCCGGTCTGACAGATTGCAGTATGACAACGAAAAAACCAAGATTTACACCGATAATTGAAGGCCTAACTCTAAAGCCGGAGAATGCTACTCTTACAGTAAGAAATCTGCCCATTAAACGATAGTTTAAGTAATCTACATATGTTTCAATATCACCTTTAGACCGTTTGCCTCCAACTCATTAACTGCTTGATTACTTATGCTGAAGATTTGGATTTTCGTGTTCATCTCAGGAATGAATTCTATCGATATGGTCTTAGGGAGTATATGGATACTGCTGAAAAGAAAATTGACTGCTATCACAAAGACATTCAAACTCAAATTCAGGGTTTCGTAGGGGTTAGAAATGAAGACGCAGAAGACTATGCAACTAGAGCCCAGGGTGTCATGGAGGAATTAAAATATCCTTTTGTTGATTTTTATGATTAAGTAGTTTAAAATTTTTTATCGTAAAATTCTTAACTCTTAAATACTGATCCCGAGCAAATTTCCCAATTGCTAACGGAAACTGTGAGAGATACTCCTTCAGAGCCATATTTTGTCTCTATTTTACAGCATTTGTTAATGATTCGCGACGACGAAGCTATCAGGTATATAATTTAAAAATTATCTTTTTAAAAATATATATGATATTTTTATTAGGCCCCAATATTATAAATTGATTGAAGAATGCATAGTACAAATTGTACTACACAAGAATGGCGTGGATCCTGATTTTCGATATACCAGAAGATTTGAACTTGATGTTACTCCTTTGATAGGTTTTAAAATCTCTGTCTTGAAATGTCTTTGAAATAACTTGTATTAATTTCATTTAGGAACACTTTCTGAAGAGCAGTTAGAGGATGACGACTCAATGAAACGACAATATAGAAATAAAAGCAAGAAAACGTTTGATGGTGCTGAAAAGAGGGAAATGGAAGCTGAATTAGATACTCTTAGAAGTAAAATAGAACAATATGAAACGAAGATGAAAGATTTGGAGGGAAAAGTAAATTTTCTTATCTTATATCAGCAAAATTACTTATAGACCTAACTTGATTGTTTGAATCATAGAATAAGGAACTATTGGGTGGAGCTATTACGGCATCCCTCAACAAGCAGTCTCCAGGACCCCCACCTCCCCCTCCTGTTACAGCTCCTGCTCCACCGCCTCCACCTCCGCCTCCTGCTGCTCCACCATTTCCAGGTGGACCAGGAATCCCCCCACCGCCCCCGCCGCCACCATGTCCAGGTTTGCTGATATACTTGACATATGATTAGATTTCTTAATTCCCGTAAACCATTTCGCAGGTATACCAGGTCCACCTGGAATACCAGGTCCCCCTATGCCAGGAACCCCTCTGTTTAGTCCACCTACATTACCACATGGAATGAAAGAAAAAAAGAAATATAAACTAAAGGCTCCTTTGCTAAAATTACATTGGGATAAAGTATCAGCACGCGATTTAGAGAAAGAAAGTTTATGGGTACATATGAGAGAGGAAAAATTTGAAGATAGTGCACTCAATAGCAAATTAGAGGAACTATTCTCTACAAGAGCTCCTAGTAAGTCTTGAAGTATATTTTTCTTTCATATGCTGACTTAATTTAATTCAGAAAAAGTAAATTCTGCCAACACGAATGAAGAAGGATCAACACCAAGTGAAGCTAAAAAGATTACTGTGAAAAAGAAGTTATTTGCTCTTGATTCGAAGACAAATCAAAATCTCGGTATACAATGTACAAAAACACTATGTAATAAATTTGACGTCTTTGTTAATTCTTTTTAGGACTACTACTTGGATCACTTAAAGTTCCTTTCTGGGAAATAAGACGTCGACTATTAGAAATTGATGAAGAAAAGTGTAAAGAAACTAATCTTGAACAAATTGTAAACACACTACCTGATCAAGAGATGATAGCCACTGTTGCATCATTTAAGGATAATTATGACCAGATGTATGAAAGTGAGCAATTCTTATGTACAATAAGCGATGTCAAAGAAGTTAAGCATAAAACCGAATCTATAATATTCAAATTAAATTTTGAAGAAATCGTTAATGATATAAAACCGCAAATATTTTGTACAACTAATGCCCTGGAAGAGATTCAAAAGTCTGATCGTTTTAAACAATTGCTTGAAGCTATCCTATATATAGGGAATTACGTCAATTCTGGTTCTGCTAAAGCTCAGGCCCTTGGCTTCCATATAAAATATCTACCATCCCTAGTGAATACAAGAAGTACTGTGGATCCAACATTTACAATGATGCATTTTCTTGTTGATTATTTAGAGAAAAACTTTCCCGATCTTTTGACATTCTACAATGACTTTGATGATTTATTCGAAGCTGCCAGTAAGGCTGATGAACAAATAGATCAAAAATTGAATTCATTAGCCAAATCAATAAAACAACTAAAAGCAGATGTTCAAAATGCTAAAAAGATGAAAAAGACTTTAGCTGATGACCGCTTTGTGCCTATTATGGAGGAATTTTCTATTGAGGCAGAGAAAAAGTATGATATTATCATAACGTTGAATAATAACAAAAAAAATATGTATGAAACTATGGCCAAATATTTCGCATTTAAAACCAACGAATACGGCATTGATAGCTGCTTGAATGATATCAAGCAATTTGTAGTAGAATTTAGGAGAATTAGAGACGAAATGACTCAGAAAAAGGAGCTAGAGGACAGAAAGAAGAGGCAGAAAGAGGCTAAAGAGGCTGCTGAACGGTTCGATTTTACAAATCTTTCTCCAACTATTATTCTAAATTCCATTATATACACAGAGAAAAGAAAGAACGAATTGAGAGACAGAAGAAAGTATTTCTCGATGTTACAGCTATTGACGATAACCAAACAAATATTATCGATAACTTACAAGACTTACTAAACACTGGTGCTATCTTTCAACATGGCGAGAAGAGAGAACGAAAGAAGAGAACTCCAAGAGCTCAAGGAGGTAAATATTTTTCTGTATTAATCAACAGTACTTTTAGTATTGCATATTTGTGAAAATTATCGGTTCTTGTTCTTTTGTATATGATATATAGAACTACTGTGTTTTTGATTAGATCGAATTAAAATGGTGAACAGACAACGCTCTTTAAGATTTAAAGAGCGACCAGATGAGCATCAGGTAGTATTCCTGGTCTGATTCCTATTTAGAAATAGCATTAATATATAACCACAATATATATATGTATATACAGATATATCCTGTATATATTTATTTGTATATATTTATTTATCTTCCCTATGGTTGCTATCCTTCCTCCATATGTTATTCTTTGTATATTAAAATTCTTTCTTAATGCATTACGTTCACTTTTTTTTTACATTATATCATATGCATGTTCTTTCACTCTGCAGTTTGTCAATTTTTTAGAATCAATTTAAAAAACATTGAATTTTTCAGCTGAAAGACGAGCAGCATTGCAGAGATCTAGATCGCGTCAAAATTTATTAAACTCTACAACAGATGTAAGTATGAAAATCTTAAATAAATTTTATTTCATTGAGAAATTTTTCAGAGTGTTGTAAAAGAAATAAATTTCGATGAAATTGCTGACACCCCTGTAAGATCTAAAGCTTCGCGTCGCCAAAAAGAAAACGTACCAGCCAACGATTTAAGCGAAGCAGAAGCTCTCTTACAAAAGCTTAAGGAATTGTGATATTTTCTCTTACCAAAACTCTTTTCTAATGCATTGTTTTTTAAGAATTTTGTTATACTACTCTCTCTTGCTCAATCTTGCTTGTATTTATGCAAAATAGATTAACTAACATTTCCAACTTTTAAAGAACGCTTTTATACGCTTATTCGTTCATGTGCTACTTGATTTCCAAAGTTTAGGTGCTGAAAAGTATGCTCTTTCGGTTTCAATAACATGTATATAGGTCTGCCTCTACTTATTACTGTTTACTCTAATCAAACATATCCATTATTTCGTGCCAGTATATTGTACACTTTGGCTTGTACTATCATGATTAAATTAACGACGTTAATAAAAACGAATGATATACTACTAATTAAACTACTTGAATATACTAATTGAATATAAATAGAACATGTAGACATAATATTTTCTATATTGCATGTGTAGATATACAAAGTTTATTGGAAATGATTTACTGTACTATTTATTACAAAAACTATTTAAGGCTTATAATAAAAATTTTACTTTTAATTATCCAAATATCAAATACAATTTATTGAAAAGTTCTCTCTTCCCGAGCATTATTAATAGCCAATTGTAAATAATTACTCTGCTTTTCGGTAAAGCCCGAATAGGTAATCTTATCTCTTATTTGCATATATAGATTAGTTAATGATTATTAAATATCAAATTCTCTATAACTGCTTCCATATATATACTATTTTTTACTTAGAGAAGTATGTATGTTTAATTACGGGCGGATTCTAGTTTATTGAATTTTAAATTCTCTCTTATTTGTATTGCAATATCCGAAAAAAGAAAGTTTAAAAAATTTATGATTTATTGTATCTCTTGTATCTAGATGGCGTGATTGTCCAAAGAAGTTTTCATTAACTTTGATGCTGGAAGTATGAATAGTTCGGAAAAGAAATTAAATATCAATTCTTCGTCAGAGGATTCGGAGAATGATTGCAAATTACAATTTTTTATCATCTATACACTGATCTTATCACCTATTTGCATTTTTGGATTAGTTGGTAACACTGTTTCAGTGATTGTGTTGCGCAAGGAAAAATCTCATAGAGTGGCGAACCTGTTACTTTCCTGCTTGGCAGTGGTCGACAACCTTTTTTTAGCATTAGCATTTGCTGTTCTATCCATTTGTCATGGTCTCTCATTGAGCGGTCAGACAGGGCAACTCATCGCTTACTTCGCAACCCCTTTTGCTAATGTACTGCAATTGGCAACCATCTGGATTACTCTACTCATTGCAATTAACAGACATATAGCTGTTTGTAAGCCTTTCAAAGCCCGCAGTTTAAACACAGTAAGAGCTATTAAAACGCAAGTGACGATAGTCTTGATTTTATCCTTTCTATCCAACCTAATGCGTTTCTTTCAGTATAAAATGGACATGGAAACTATGGATATGTATATTATATATGGACCCAATTCAATCACTTGGAAAGTTTATGAAACTATTTATACCTCCATTGCATTAATTCTACCTCTAATTCTTCTGGCCGTTATCAACATAAGAATAATAATGAAAATTCGTCAAAGGGCACTTAGACCATCAAACATTAGAGTAAATACCGAAGGCTATTGTTCAAGTCTTACCTATGTGATGATAATAATTATAATTCAAGTTCTAGTCTGTCACACTCCAGATAGAATTCAAATGATTGTAAAGTCAGTCTGGGAAATTCAAGAGAATTGTCATACACCTTTTTCCATATTAATGGGGGTAAACAATATTTTGGTAATAACAAATTCAGCAACTAATTTTATCATCTATTATGTTGTTCGAAAATCATTTAGAGTTAAGGTTCAAAAGCTAATATGCAAGTAGGCTGATGAAAGAAATATGAAAATACAAAGATATACAAAAAGTATAAATAACTGTCAATAACAATTGTGTCAAAATATTATATTATTTGTTGGAAAAAGCCAAGATTATTTATCTACTAATAAAGGAAACTTCGAATGAAAACAACTCTGCGTCTTATTGCTTAATCCAGTCGACAGGCTCCTTTAGAACTTTTAATATTTTCGCTTCATTGCTTTCTGGTTTTGGATTATGACAATATTCCCATTTCTTGGAAAGAAAAACAAATCAGATAGTCAGCATAAAAATAGGTAAAAGAGAAAACTTACTGCATAAGTAGGTAAAGACATCAAAATGCTTTCAATCCTTGAGCCTGGCGTCATTAAACCAAACTTTGTTCCTCTATCGTACACCAAATTGAATTCAACATAACGACCTCGTCGAAGAAGTTGCCATTCTCTAAAGTAAAAGAAATAAAATTGTAATATAGCAACATGGTATAATCAGAGTGTATTATATAGATAATACCTTTCAGCCTGAGTGTAAGAGTCACTCTTGTGCTTTTCTACAATTGGAACGTACGATGGAAGTATGGCTTTAGCACAAGTCTTCAACAAAAAAAAACAAGTGAAATACACTTCTAAAAATGTAAATAATGCCTTACTTGTACAAATTTGAATGCTTCATTTTGATTCGGTGATTCTAAATCATCAAAAAATATCCCGCCTACTCCTCTACTTTCTCCTCGATGTTTAATAAAGAAATAATTATCGCACCATTTTTTAAATTTTTCATAATATGTAGGGCTGTGTTTATCGCAAGCGGCTTTTAAGGTTTTATGAAAATGTTTACAGTCCTGTCAAGAAAATTTCGTTAAAATTATCGTTATTTGTAAAAGAAAATTTTTACTTCTTCGTTTAAGTAATAAGGTGTCAAATCAGTTCCACCCCCAAACCACCAAATCTTTTTATCCTCATTTTTCACTTCAAAATATCTGTAATTGAAGTGAATAGTAGGCACATGAGGGTTTTTCTGAAAAGAAGCAATAACTTGACAATTTGACTAACAGATATTTTTCAAAATGGATTATTGTCTAACCGGATGTATTACTGAGCTTATTCCACAAGCAAAAAACGGTAGAGATTTGTCAGCATTCAAATCATGACCTCTCGACTTCATTTGAGCGACTGCAGCCGGCGGAAGATCACCATGAACAACCGATATGTTAACGCCGGCTTTTTCAAAGACGTCGCCTCCATTCATAATACATGTTATACCTCCTCCGCCCTCTTTTCTATTCCACTTGTCAATTTGAAAATTTTGCTTTCCATCTAGTTTCTCTAACTTTCTGCAAATTTCACCTTGCATCTCCATGATAAACAGCTCCATCTTAGCTTTCATGTCATTTTTCGACTCCTACAAAATGATTAACAGTAAGTTCACGTAAGGAGTAGAGGAGTTTTTTGAACAATAACCTTTTTTAAGGTCTCATAGTCCGTTAGTGGCACCGACATGAATTTTGCTATTTCGCTCTTGCTATCAGCAAACTGTTTAGAGCATCATTTAACATTAAATACTTAAATACTTAGGAATTACTAACTATGGGTGAAGAAAAAGTTAAGTAGGCACTAATGCCCGATGTGACTAAACCGCCAGCTAGGATTCTAGAAAAAAAACTAGTTTATATACTTATACAGGACATGTAATCTATTAAAGTCAATCGTAAAAAGAAAACAAATAGTAAAAGACAATCGTCAGTTATTTCTTATTTGATATTATCAAAACAGGACAACCTGCAAATCTCGCGACTTGTTCAGAAACGGATCCTAAAAGAGCTCTTTTTAAAGGACCTAAACCTCTTGTTCCAACTACAATAAGTTTTGCATCGTTCTCGAGGGCAATCTTCCAAATTTCTTCGGCAGGTTTATCAGGGCCGAATTTGATAATAATCTTTCGTTTTATACCCTTCTCATTACATAGTTTATCGTAATAATCTAAAAATTTTGAGCTTTTATCTTGCTTCTCCTCCAATCTCTTTACCCATTCATCGGTTGGCAGTACTAGTCCTGATCTGAATTGAATTGTCGGAAATTTGGGTAACTCCGGGATATGAGTTATTAATATTTCGTCCCCTCCTCTGTAATATTCTTCAAGGTAACGATTGAATGCATGCTTAGAATTATCGCTTGAGTCAACTGCTATAACTATAGTTCTATCTGGTACACGAAAAGAGCTTCTTCGATCCATTTTTTTAAATGTTTTTATGACGCTATTTGTCTTAATTTACATAATAATATAAAACAACTCTTACTTTTTTCCATTATTGCTTCTAAATATTCTATAGCAAGCAAACATTGTGCATTTCTTAATTGAAGAATAAATAGTTGAGGTCATCTTTACTGAAAATGTCACTAGTATTATTCAATTGATTTATCGCTCACACGTATTTCCAGATACTCGAAGAATAAACTTTATTCAGCGAATATATCTTAAAAATAATTTTATTATATTTTTAAAATACTTTTAATACCTCAACAACAGAAATTAAAGGTTATTTTAGAAGTTTTTAAAACTCTAGTTCTAAATCAAGAGCTTTGCTTTAGTCCTATATGAATGCACGTGCAACCTTTGGCTGATAGGCTATCATTTAGGGCGGGTAATTTGAATTGTTCGAATGAAAATCCCTTATTTCGGCAATTAACATGATATAAATAAATGAACTATACGAAATTTTTTCGCAGAGCAAACAACGCTCACAAACTACTTAATTTATTTACACCTAGTGAATGTAGTCTGAACTAAATCGATGCAAGATGAACCGGAACCGGATTTCTCTGACGCAAACCATCAAATATGTAAATGGCTAAAATGGCGTGGAGGATCTGAATCTCGCAATGAATCTCGTATATTATTACTATAAACAAATTTGAAATAAAGTCTTTGAGTTAAAATGGTATGGAAAAATTTCAATTAATTTTTGTTGTATAATTAAATGAATGTTAACTTCCACGTGAAAAATATAGGCCTAACACATGAATAATCTATATATTACAATGGTCTAAGGCAAACTTTAGAATCCCTAAATTTCATTGTTTTCCCTATAAAAAAGCATACACTCCCCCTACATATCCCTATTAGCAAATCGATTCAACTTCACAAATATAATACCCTAAATGCGTAAATATATTTAATGTTTTTTTAACTTGCACTGTGCTTTGAATACTAAATAATTTTAAGTGCATTTAACGTACAATTGATAGGATGGGAATTCGAAGGATGAAGAAGTTTTCATTAGCGAACCACCACAGAAAACTGTTCAATTGAAAGATGAAGAGAAGCTTCAAATGCTTAAAAAAAAGAAAAAAGAAAGGAGACGCACTAAGTCAACCTCTTCTTACGTTGAAGAAGGCGACGAAAATCGTGAAAGAGGGAATTGGTCGGGAAAACTTGACTTTATATTGTCTTGTTTATCGTTTGCTGTAGGATTGGGAAACGTCTGGAGATTTCCATATCAGTGCTATAAGAATGGAGGAGGTTTTTATTACATATATAATTATATATTCACAAATGTACCAATAAATACTTCCTTATGCTCTTAGGTGCTTTCCTCTTTCCGTTCGTATTTATGCTTGGTCTCACGGGTATTCCAATGTTCTTCCTGGAATCATCTTTCGGGCAATATGCTCAATGTGGTGTCATTACTATCTGGAATTGTTGTCCTTTATTTCGAGGAATTGGTATTGGTATGATGCTTGTCTCATTTTTCGTGGCAATCTACTACAATGTGATAATATCTTGGACCTTTTACTATTTCTTTTCATCCTTTACGTCAAAATTACCTTGGGCCGAATGCGGAAACGTCTGGAATACGGAAAATTGTCGAGTTCGAACTGCCAGTGATCCAGGACACACAAATTGTACCAGTTTCAATGGAACATGGTATAATTCCATATGTTATACAAGGGATTCCCCAGAGTACGAAAATATAACAGCACTGGCCAAATATAGCTTGAATGACACAAGCCCAAGTGATGAATATTTTCATAGACATGTCCTCCATATTTCCTCATCGATCGATAATTTGGGAGGAATTCGTTGGCCCATTGCAGGATATCTTTTGTTATCATGGGTTCTTGTTGGCATCTGCCTTATAAAAGGCATAAAATCCTCAGGTCGAGCAGTCTACTTCACATCAACATTTCCTTACGTTGTATTAACGATACTGTTGATTAAGGCTTTAACATTACCTGGAGCTAGCGACGGGTTACTTTATTTTATCACACCCAAATGGGAAAAGCTACTTCAGCCAACGATTTGGGCTGATGCAGCTGTGCAAATTTTCTTTTCATTGGCTCCCGGCTGGGGAGGTTTGATTTGTTTATCTTCTTACAATAAGTTCAAAAATAATTGTCTCAGAGATGCTTTTATTGTATCAATCGGGGATATCCTAACTTCAGTTTTTGCTGGTTTGGTAATATTCTCTATCATTGGTTACATGGCAAATGATTTAAATGTCGATATCGATAAGGTGGCAAACGAAGGCCCTGGATTAGCTTTTATAGTGTATCCAGAAGTCGTGACAAAACTACCTGTTGCTCCTTTGTGGTCGATGATGTTTTTCCTTATGCTAATAACTTTGGGATTAGGCACACAATTTGCAATTCTAAATACCGTCCACACAACTTTGATGGATCTGTTTCCCAATAAATTTCGAAGCGGACTTCGACCTACGCTTCTCTTGATCATTTTATGCATAGTTTTATTTTTATTGGGTCTACCATGTTGTACTGAGGGCGGAATGTATGTCTTAACGCTATTGGATAACTATTCAGCCAGTTATTCAGTATTAATAATTGCTTTAACGGAATGTTTGGTGTTGGCTTGGGTATATGGCTATGATAGATTCAAGAAAGATATCTATCAAATGTTGGAAAAGAAAATTGGAGTATATTGGTTTGTAATGTGGAAGTTTATAACCCCGATAGCTTTAGTCGTCATATCACTCTTTACCTTCATTCAATTTAAGCGTAGTAGATACGATAATTATGAATTTCCCGTTTGGGCTGAAGTGATCGGTTGGATGATCAGTTTTACCTCAGTTGCATCAATACCGGCGGCTGCTATTTTCCTGTTAAGTACGAAGGATAAAGACAAGACCTTCTTACAAGTACGTTTATATAAACTAATTAAAGACTCTTATTAATCATATAATATTCTGTATTATAACAGAGAGTCAGGAATCTAACAAAACCTACAGACGATTGGGGAGAGGATATTCCTACAGTATCACCTGTCAGAAAAAGACACAAAAGTTCTGAACAGAAAGAAACAAAGTTTTAAGTTCCCCCCTAATTACCTTTAAAAAAAAGAGTGCCAAAACCTGGGTTGTTTGTCTTTGCGAAGAAATTCCTTACCACCACTTTTCATAGTGTATTTGATTTTGAGCAAATTTTTCCAACTTAAGCCATGATTCTACGTCATCTATCATGGAAGTAGGACCACAAATAAATGCTTTTGGCTTCAAATCGAAAGAGAGCAGTCTTTGAATTTCGCGTCTGACATCATTACAATTTATGCGCCTATTACAAATGGATTCTTCAGTCTGCGAAAGCTTCTCTTGCGTGATGAAATAACATCTTTTGAAGTTGTCGTTGATCTGGCATATTCGATCGATTTCTTTCTATGTTTGTTTTGATTACTTAATGGATATAAACCTAATTAAATCTTTACAATCTTACTTTAAAAATCAATTCTTCTATAGACTTTGCCGAATAGAATAATGTAATAGAAGATGCATCTTTTGCAACACTTGATAGCATAGATAAAATAGGGTTAATTCCAACTCCTCCCGCAAATAATAATAGTGGAGAGCTGCTATCTTCTCCCTTCAGATAAAAACTGCCCCCACTTCTAATTTGTACCTTGTCTCCCACATTACACTAGAATTTAGTTTGTTGTATTTACATTAGTACAAAGACTATATTAATTTAAGCAGACTAGCCTTATTATGAAACCAATACGTCGGTGGATGTTCGCTGTATTTAATTGCCAGGCCTATTTTTCGGGTTTTCGTGTAGTGGTCAATAGTTGATGTCATTGAAAAACCTCCAATAACAGGCACATTGGGAATGTGTGTATCAATCCTATATTTTACAAAAATAAAACTCAATTGAATGATGTGAATAGTAATGAATATTTTACCATTGACCAGGTAGAAACGAAAATTTATCGTCACTAACGAACAATTCTATTCCAATTACTGTAGGAGAAAGACTGAATTTTTCAGTTACAGTGGCTAGAGAGAGTGTATCATCCTCAGTGCTTGAGGGCGTGTGTTCCATATGATCGCTTTTTTCTGACATGTTCGAGAGGCTGATAAAGTATTATCTAATATATATTCAAAAGAATTGTAATCAAAATACGTAAGCTATTGGATTTTAGCACCAAATTTTTTATCTTGACCTTTTTGGCATGCAAGGCTGTAAGACTTCCGGAAAGAACAAGTAAATTTTACCGTTAATAGAGATTTATAGGAAAATTTGTGGGTTTTTTTAATTAATACATATTATTATTTACAGCATTAAAATATGTTTAGATATTGCTGTAGAATCTAATCAAGTTGATAAGTTGTTCACTATCAGATCACGTGACAACAGTCTACCGCGCCACCATGACGTTAGTCGCCAATAAGTCTTAGTTGAAGGACTATTTATAATTATTTTCTTCTCATTCCTTGAAAAGTACAGAAGTAACAACTTCCAAGGTAATCAAAATTGAAGAAAAACAATAGCTGTTGTTCAATTTTATATTCTTATTTAGTTTACCATAGCTGCACGTGTTTAATAAATTTCAGCTTTAGTCGTATAGGCTTAGTTTACAGGCTAAGATGTAAGAAGCATATGTATGAGAAATTTAACACAGCAATAAGAGTAGAATTAGATTATTTTTGTCAATAATTAATATGTATTTATCTTATTCTACATATGTGCTAGGATATGTTTAAATATGTGAATTTTATATCCATTTTTTGCAAAATTACTTTGTTGTGATTAGATGTTCAAATCTAATTAAACTGTTATTGAAATAGGGGGAGGGGGGTGTTATCGATTGAACAAAAGCCAAGTTTGAATCAATTTGAACAAACTAAAATTATCTATTCTATTTTTTAATTGTCCTTGGAATATTTTGGCCTCTCAGAGATATCGTTTTCAGCTGCTAATCAATGACGTTGTAGTTTTAAAATATTTTCCTATATATTATTTATAAATAGCTTCATATTTATATTGTTACTGCAGAGACTTTCGGAAATCGTATTCACCAAGGTCAACAAAGCTGATGGATGAAAATTTTGAGTAGGTAGCTTTCTATATGCTATATTTAATACAGTGACGCTGGCTTGTTTATAGATATAAAAGCTTATTGATTTTTTTCTTTCCTTATGTCCCTATATACATCTCTCGGTTGATTCGCTTAAAAGAAGGGTAAAAAGCCTTTTGTATATACTTTTAACGTGTATTTAATTAATACTGAAAGTGAAAAAAGAATATTAACGTAGACATCAAGAAATAATACTCTTTTTTTGACGAATCAATGCCCTTACCTAATCTTTCAGAGTCGCAAATTAACAAAATTTACGTAAATGTCTTGTTGAGTAAAAAGCCAAACTTAGCTACTTTAATTAATTGAAGTTTATTAAAGGTTTTTTTCAACTCAATCAATATTTTAAAACAATTACAAGTTACTAAGAACTGGCCATTACTCGATAATATACAGTATACCAATGTATACATTTACTAAAGTTAACTCTGAAAATACTTATGTTATTTTTCAGTCTAGATTGAGGAAAACGTTTCTTGATTCCAGTTTAGTATTAGACAGAAATTATATATATATGAATATTCTTATTTAACATTATTCTCAAATTCAGCTTATTACCTCGTGTTATAAACGGAAGTATAGCCGGTCTTATTGGTGTTACTTGTGTTTTCCCAATTGATCTCGTAAAAACTCGACTTCAAAATCAACAAATAACGAGCAATGGCCAACGTATGTACAATTCGATGTTTGATTGTTTTGTTAAAACTGCCAAGAGTGAGGGAATATTTGGCATGTACAAAGGTATGACACATTAATTTCGTATAACTTCAATATAGAAATCAAAATGAACTTAATTGAGTAATTCATTTTATCTTATAGGATCTGCTGTCAATCTTCTTTTAATAACGCCAGAAAAGGTTATTAAATTAGTTGGTAATGACATTCTTCGCCATAAACTTCAGAATAAACAAGGAAAACTAACGCTATTCCGAGAAATGTTAGCTGGAGGGGGAGCTGGCCTATGTCAAATTACTGTAACCACCCCTATGGAGTTATTAAAAATTCAAATGCAAGATGCCGGAAGGAAAATATCAAAACCAAAAGTAATAATGAAAAAGACGTCTGCAGAGCTTCATTCTAGCCGATCATATGCAACAACGACGAAAGAAACGACAATGACTGCCACTAGCATTGCCTTGAAGCTATTGAGAGAAAGAGGTTTATTTGGCCTATACAAAGGGTGTGGCGCTACCGCTTTACGCGACGTCACTTTTAGCGCAATATATTTCCCACTCTTTGCCCATTTTAATTCCGTTGGACCAAAGAGAGCTGATGGTAGTTCTAAATTTTATGTAACCTTCGTTGGGGGCTGTTTAGCTGGTTGCATAGCGTCTCTGAGTGTAAATCCTTTCGATGTCGTCAAGACAAGGTTGCAAACACTCTCAAAGGGTCAGGGAGAAACAACATACGAAGGAATAATCGACTGCTTCAGAAAGACTTGGGGAATAGAGGGAGGAAAAGCATTTTTCAAAGGGGCAACCTGCAGAATAATGGTCATCGCTCCATTGTTTGGTATCGCTCAAACTGTTTATTATTTAGGTGTTGCAGAGAAACTTTTAAATGTTGATCGCTCTAAGTCCGTTTAAAGCTTGATTTATTGATTTACTTTAGACGTCTAACTGTATTAATTTCATCAAGATATATAATACATGTTATGCACGAAACTTTTTGATAATTTCGAATTATTGCCGTCTAGTTAC